TTGCATTGCTGCTTCTAAGGATGTAACGGATTATCTTCATTATTATAAGTAGCTCTGAGACCTGTGATTAGCAATAACGTGAGCTACTGATGGCAAGAGCAGACATGGAGAGACTGGAGAAGGTTTGTCTCCTCACCCAGTCTGGCCTCGGCTCGGGAACAGGTCGCAGAAACAAGAAAAAGCACTTGATGCCCTGCTCTTCGCCTCACGCTCACCAAAAGCCCTCAGTGGGTGGAGAATCGGTGGTTAGCAGAGCGTCCCGAGTGTCATCAGATATCCAAGCTTAGAGCTGGTGGTTTTACCAGTGCCGTTCCAGTGTGAGACGTCACTGGGTGGCGGTCTTCAGCATGTGATCGAACACTCAAGGTGAACACTCCTGGTTCACAAAGAAAGAAAAGATAAATAAATAACACCCTGTGTAACTGTCATGGTATCATTTTATATTAATAAATGATCTCCGGTAGTTTTAAAGTATACCAAATTATATGTGACTCCAAAACCGCATTACTTTCTTATCAACAGCGGAAAAAAGCAACAAATGAAGATGTTTCAGAAACAGGAATAGTGTCAAATTAAAACTGAACAAAAAAGATGTTACATAGTTACTGTGTAATGACATAAACAGAGGTAGAAAGTCCATTTGAAAAGCAGCTTCTCTGATGGTAGATTAGTTTGATTAGTTCAGCAAAAATTTGCTGATCAGAATTTTTAAATGTAAGAATTGTATCCTTTTTTTTTGCTATACACAGATTGTGAGACATTTCAAATGTTCAACATGTGCATGTATTTGAAAAGCTAGGGGTCGCCACAGCAGGTATTTCCTTTTTACACCGGATGCTCTTCCTGTCACAACACCAAAGAGGTTTGTGTCTCCTCCTGGGATTAAACTGGGTCTCTTTCACTTATTAGGTGAACGTGTAATATACCCCACTGTGGGACCACTCAGTATTTCCTTGCAATTAATGATTATTTTAATATTAAAGGAAATAAGTTAGAGATATTAGAGATAAACTGATGATGAAAATGATCATTAGTGGCAGCCACATGTCTCAAAACAAACTTTTCTCTCACAAAACCAGCCTTATGAAGTGAGACTGAAAAAACCCTGGAGATTAAATATTCTGTAATCTTCTGAAGCTTCTTTGTTTTTTTAAAAGTTGCATTGTGGAAGAAAAGTGCAAAAGAACCACACAGTCTGTTGAAACTTTAACAACTATGGTTAATTTTGTACATATATAAATATTTAACCTCCTGAGACCCGAGCTCTTGTTTGGGATGCATTTTTAATTTCTCCTAGCTATTTGGGATTAGTTGAACCAGAAAAGTATAAACTCTAAATATTATGTTTGAACAATGGGCACACGCTACTTAAAAAATTACAAAACACTTTATTGAGCAGCATTACGAAGAATATTCAAGAGGTTAAAACATGTTTAGAGTAATTATTAGGTGTGGAATTAAAGCACAGTTCAATAGCTTCAAATGATCTCCAACATACTGGAGGCATATGCAGGGTGATTTCAACCTGGGACAGGCTGCAGCACACCAGCCTGCTCTGAAAAACGCACGACAGAATGAGGTTTATAATCCACCCGAAAGACAAAATTCTCTTTCATGCTTTCTTTGTCCTTAAACATTAATGTAACGTCAAACCATCAGCTCGCTCTGTAAGTTAACACGACTTTCCGAGGTGACAAATGTTCTCCAATCTCTGAGAAATCACACACAACAGCTTCATTTGCTGCTATGATTGACGTAAAAGGCACGTAAATACTTTAAGTATCTGATTTTTCTTTGGACCTGTGTAATGCAAACAGACACATACGCTCAGATTAATAATGCCTGATATCGGCGAGTATTCATCTGCTTTAAGATTAAAATAAGGTTTCTTTAACATTTTGTAAATCATTTTATTTTCCACCTTAAATGAAACATATAATGTCTACACTGAAATAATGTATCGACACTTTTTGAAGCGATCATTATATATTTTATGAATATGTGGATGTGCTGTGATGGCCGAGCATATGGAGATGTGTAATGTGGTTTGTTAGGTGATGATTTGTCTCCCCCTTAGGGTTATTAACCAAACTGTTCTTCTGTCTATGCTTTCACTTCATGCCTTTGTGCATCTAAATCTCAACAAGTGCTGTTAATAGTGTTAAATTACTCTCGGAAAAATGCAGCCAATTTTTATTATTTTATCTGCAGCTGATCTAACAGACTGTTATCGGGACTCGTGGGGTCAGGGGTGTAAATATCTGAGACTTGAGATGATTTTTCTTTTCGCGCTCGTTAATATGATCAACAGTTATCCCTCTCTCCTCCACTAAAGCTAAAACGCTCCCCAGCGGACGGTCGGCGGGTCAGTGAAGGCTGAGGGCTATCAAAGCAGTGTATTAAAAGGAGCTCTTTGAAGCTTGTAAACCACAGTGCCCAGCAGGTCCACAACAGATAGACGCCTCTGATTGGTCAGGTGTGTGTGTGTGTGTGTGTTTTCTGCTGGATCGATCCACCGAGCTGACATTCTGGAGCATCAAAGCTTTCGGTGCACTAATCTGACTCCTCCTATGAGGGCGAGGGTTGTTTTTACTATTTTACTTTTTTGTCCATGAGGTGCTTAAACTTTAGATGGGGCTCTTGCGTGTTGCATGATGGGAGAGCGGGCAAAGCATATGTTTTGGAGGTTTGAAAGGGAATGAAAACAAATCAAGCTTGGATACTGTATTTATCGAGTGATAAATAATGCAAAACTATAGAGAGAGAGATGGAGAGAGAAGCAGAGAATCACAGGGCCATCCATTGGGCGTACCACTGGCAGCAGCAGAGGAGCGACACCGCAGAGATTCACACACTGCTGCTCCTCAAAGTCAGTTTCCCCTCACACTGTCTCTGGAGACCTGCGCCACATACACACTCATGAAAGGTGTGAAAATCTGATTTCCCAAAAAGGATCGGTAATTCTCTGTGAGGGTGGAAGCCGCAATCAATAAATCATTGCTAAGCAGATTGTAAAGAAAAAAAAATTATTCCCCCTTGGTATCAGTGCATTAGGATTCTCCTGAGGATGGATGAGGCAAGACAGGGGTGTGAGACAATCTCAATAAAGAAGAGGCAAATCATACCTTTGGCATTCATCTGGACTCAGGCAAGCAGCTGTCAGCAGAGTGACGGAGGACCGGGCGAGTCGACCAATATCCGAAGCCACCATGTTCAGAGAAGTCTGCAAATATATAAAACAAATAGCCTAATTATTACTGGAAGTCTTGCTGACTGTGTTTGCTTTATTAGTGAATGCACATTCCTTTATTAAGGCAGGCATAGGAAACAACCTCAGAAAAGTACTGTACTTTTAATTGTATATAAATCTACCACAGATTTTACTTCAAAAAGAGGCACAATAAATCCTTTCAGCTGCTATTTCTCATCATAATAACGCACAATCTGGATGCAATTACTGCTTATTACCAAGTGGACAAAGTATTCATATTCTTTACCATCAAGAGTAAAGATGCACCCATATACATATTTAGCTTCCTTCCTACAACTGTAACACTGCTAAACACCATGTGACAGTAATTATGTACAACCCTCATGTGCAATATTCCACTACCCAATTCCACATCCCATAACTCGGGACATACCTCACTGTGTACATTTTATAATATGTAAAATAACTCATGTAAAGTGCACTTTTGTACTGCTCAGCTTCACACAATTACAACCCTAAGGCATATACATTACACAGACAGATGCACAGCCTGTAAATAAATAACTCATGTTCAGTCCAACCATGCAATATTAAGTCCCAATACTTTTTACTCTTTAATGCTTGTCAGTAAATGTTGTATTTTATATTTATAATATTTATATTATGTATTTATGTAAAATGTTTATTTTATCTAAGCTTTTTTTCACCATCTTAGCAAGTATTACCTGATTTCGTTATGTTTGCTTAATGATAATAAAGTGTCTTGAATCTTCAATACAGTCTTGGCAGTAAAATGCATATTTAAAGTATCAAAAATATAATTTAATATTCTTCTGAAACCAGGGGACTCAAACAATAGCTGAAGGGTTAATTTAGCCACCACGTTCAGACAAATCTGGACATACTTAAGTCGAATAGTCTTAATCATTTCAGTTAGTGTTGTTTGTCCTGTTTTATTCAAATTGTCTTAATTAAGACAAAGAGAGATTGTGAATGAATTTAAAGTCTTGTAAGTTATCATTTTGAGATTATTGCTTCATTCAGTGCTCAATTATTAGAAGAACATTTTGTGTATTTTACCTCACATTCTTCTGTATATCTGGCTAGTGGCAGTAAATAATCAATATAAAAGGGGACAATGTGTACAGTAAATATTTTTGCCTAACAATTCTTGTAATGATACTCATAATTACTTCAGACATTACTTTTGTAAAAACTACTTAATTATAAGTAATAGTATTGATGGACCTTAAGCAAAAGTAGCATGTTTCTGCTGTTTGGAGCTATTTTTATTATTTACTATAAATGATATAAATTTCTCCTCTAGGGAAAAACTACACTATTTGCCACTGATATGTTTCAGACAATTAATACAACAAATTAAAAATACTCAGCTGTATACAAGGGGGTGGATTTAGCTGGCTCCTTTTAGCCTCTTATTTGAATACCTTTTAATGACAGCAGAAATCAGCCTTTTTATCATCCCCCTTGGGGAAAGTTTGGAGGACTTTTAGTCCAGGTTAATTTATTGTATCTGGCGACCGTTCAAATTTTTAAGGTTGGTCTATTAATGTTGTCAGTGAAGATGTGCTTTATGGCTATACCTAGCTTTACTGCGGGTTATTTGGCTGCAGTTTCAAGACTGTTAGCTTCAACTGAAAAAAAAAAAGACATTTTCTTCACAAGTTTGCCGTCTGACACTTAAGAAAAGAGACACTTGGATTGTTAAAACCCAATAAAAGTTGCTACAAGTATTTGCCACGAAAAACATATGAACTGTCACCTGGCATCGTTTTTTAAGTAATCGTCTCCTTTTATTCTGTCGGAGTATCCGCGTTGTCGTTTCTCTATCTGAATGACTTCATTACCCATAACGCCTTGATACTCGAATTCAAGTCATGTGATTTAGCTTATGACTGGAAGCAGGTTTCGACAACAAACATCACTTTGCTGTCACGTAACAGCGGGTGTTTCTGAGACGAAACGAACCTTTAGCGGAGATTTAACGGATATTTTTAAAAATATTTGTTAAAGTATTATAGCTGTTACCTTTGGATATATCGCTAAATAATATCACAATGGCGGAAGTGGAGGAGCAGGTAAGCTCAAAATGCTAAAGCTAGCTAGCTAAATGTTTCTGTTTTAAACGCACTTACATCAAAAATGCATTCAAAGTGTGCCTGTGAGAGCTGTCTGCTGTGGTTTCATTTGATTTAGCTTCTCATCAAGCCATTCTCTGCTTGGAAAGCTAACATTTTAGGTGCTAATTTAGCTTTGCAGTTGTTTGGTATATATTTAATCTCTAAATAAATAGTCATGGCCTTTGAAACCAAGCTTTAACACTAATATTTTTTTTTTAAAGCAACCCAACATTTTTCTGCTTTTAGGTCAGACATCCAAGTGAGGAAACCACAGATGAGTCTGAGGTAAGAATCAAAAATACCTCATCATTTTAGCTCATCTAAGATGAATTTATTTGAAGAAATCTTGACATATATTTAAAAAAAATAATAACTGGAAAAAATGGACTTGAATGTGTCATGCAGTTGCACCAGTATGTCAGTGTAGACATGCATCACCAATAATATACTGTCAGTGACAGAAGTGTTCATATTTCTGTCAGGTTTGGATGCTTTTTGAAATCTCTGCCTACTGAAGGGGCTGTAATACATAACATAGCCTTTATCAGCACAGCTTGATCCCTAAAGGATCTTTGTCAGGTTCTGAGAGGTGTCAAACACTCATGAATTACATATAGCTTTCCAGATCCATCAATATTATGACTGAACTCTGGCATGTTACAGTACACCTGTGCTTCGGAGGATCTCACATGGGCTGAATAAAATATAACATTACACATCACGCTGACAGGAAGGAGAATTTTTCTTCATCGGTAGCAGAGGATGGAATCATATATAAGATGTATGCTGCATTTTGGACACCTGCACCTTTCTCAAGCTACTACTTTTTTTCTCAAGAAAATAAACCAGACTTGTAAATAGTGGTCTGTCTGTGCACCATGTGTTCAGTAGTCATGGACAAACACTCACTGGACTGTGGGATTGCAAGTCTCCTCTGAGTGGCTGCTGCAAACAGGTGATTATTTGCTTACAATATTGCAATATACTGTAGCTGGCTGCTGTTGTTACCAGCTTGACAGCAGCCTCGCTAGATGAAGGCAGCGAGGGGCTGTTTGCTCTACACTCTACTAACAGAAGAGATGAGCAGGGTAACAATCTGTCTGAGCAGTGGCTCTGGAAAGTCAGAGGCATTCTCTTCATCAACGTCATGATTTGGTTAGATTAGTCTAATTTGTAATAACATAATACAATAATAAGCCTGATTTGTAAGTGCTTTTTAGTATGCTCAGCGGATCAAACCCTTAAAACGATAGATTTAAGCAACATATTAGTTGACTGATTGCACCAATTTCCCCCTCTTTCTGCCTCAAACAAACTAACATGGTTAGATTTAACAGCTACAGCGTTCCCCTTAAAAGCAGACAAATGGGCGAGTCTTGCTTGAACCTTGAACATTAAGCTAGATGATGACACGAGGAGTCTCATTTAGCTCAGCTGTCAGTAGATGGAGAATATGGCAAAAATGGTTACAAATCAAAAGAAACCCCAGCAGCTGAAAAACGAAAGGGTGAGTTCCATAAAAGCCTGTCAAAAAATGTACTTTTGTGGTCCCGAAAGCACATAAAAGGTAGAGAATGAAGGGTAATAAATGGAAGAAAAGACATCATGCATTGTATTTTTAGCAACTTGCTGGACCACTATAAGGCTCTAAGTGCTCTACATGATTCTGCCACTCCTTTAGAAGCAAATGAAATGGTTTAATGCATATTTTAGCTTAGTTTAGTTTTATTCAGTCATCACATATTGCACAGACAGTGTAAACAGCACACAATAAATCAGGATCTCTGCACCATGTAGTGACTGAACAGAATCAGGCAGAAGCAACGCTTCTGTAAGCCTAGACTGCGATCTTTTAATTCCAGAAAGAATAAATGGGAACAACATAATCATTCACACCCTCAAGTGTCAATAATTGATGAGGCCTTTGTGCTACTGTTGGAAAAGAAAAAGCAAATTAATTAAATTCATTTTAGCAATTTTCAATAATTTAACCTCAACACTAGAAGTTCACTTTGAGTACCAAAATCTAAAAGCTAATTTGTTAAACAGCATTATGAACACACTTTCATTTTATGGACAAAGGACCAAGCTGATGTCAGCTGGGAAAACAGTTTAAGCAAAGTTTTTATAGCATGTTATATGCTGGTTTCATAAACGTAGGTCTTTGGACACGACCCATGCAAATCAGGAGTTTGGTGGGAGTGCCACCAGCATGCGTGCTAGGATTGAAATTCATAAATGCAGTTAAGTTCAATATAGATGTTGATAATGACATCAAGACAGCCACTGTTAATATACTGCAGGTTGCGAGACTGACAGGAAATGATGATGTATGAATTTGACAAGTCTATTACTGAATTTGGGATCGTGGGCAGTATAAAGCTGCCACTGATGCTATGATCAGGATAAAGGTATGATCTCCAGTTATTTAAAAACAAGAACAGTCCTGCAAACAAATGGGCAAAGTTAGAAAACATTGGTTTCAAAGCTGTAAAGAAATGGCTTTAATCCACCCAAGTGGACTGAAACAAGCAAATATAATGATGGAAAAAAATTATTACCAGACTCTTGATTTTGTTTGATATAGGCAGGAACCCACGCAAGCACTGAAACATACAAGGTGTGCTTAACTAGGGTACATGATAATGTTAACTTTGTGTATTTTATCCTGTACATGCCCAGGTGTGACATGTATAGCTCATTAGTTTGTGTCTAAATGCTACGTTTCTGAATGCCATAATTCATCGAAGATCATATTTTTAAATGTAAATTGATAGTTTATATATGACAGTTGTAAAACTGTTATTACTGTATAACAGTGTGTCATAAGCACCTTGTCCTGAAACTGTTTGGTCAAAAATCTTCTTTTAGTGATATTCGTTCCCTTCTTAATCAACCGGAAAGAAACAAAACAAACAGCAAATGAGTGACTTCGGTTTGAATATTGTTTGCATTATTTTAAATAAACTGAATCATTCAGTGGATCAGTGTGAACCTAATAACCAGCCGTGTTAATAATGCATGTGGCTGTTTTCTGTAATAATGGATTGAATTTGTTTTGTATTAAAGGTCAGTCCTCGCAATAAGAAATGTGGGAAGTGAGCGATATGTTACGTAATCTTTTAATATACCCAGTTGATTACTGTTATTAATTATTTATTGTTGTTAACATGCAAAAAATGATACCGAAAAACCTGTAGCAGTGCGTCTTTTCTATCATAATTTATGATCAAGCACAATGCCTAGAAGCAGAAATACTCAGTGAGGTGGTTTGATAATCTTGGTGGAGAGCACTGTGTATGGCCTGCTGTGTTGAGTTGACTTTAAAGGCTGCAGCATGTGATTAATATAATTTTTATATATACTATGTGTTGATCTTTCCCTTACTTTGCCACCTGTGTGTAAACTGTGTTTATGACACATGATGATTTGTTGTTTGTCTTAATAATACTGGGTACACGCCTTCGTTTCTCCAACTAGTGTGGTCCTCGCTGTGCAGTATATTTAAAGCTGAATGTTTCCCTTCATGCTCTATTTTAACAGCCAATACTAAAAGAAAATGGCAAAAATGGTTACAACATCAAGGCCAGCTGAGTAGTTGACAAAACAAAGAGCAACTTACAAGAGATGGCAAAAGTTTTAAAATGGGTAGTTTCTCTGTGGGGATGAAGTTTGCCTTTGTTGTTTGATACGCCTTTGAAACCCGTGACAAATGCCCTCGCATCAGAAATCTCACAACCAGAATACACAGGAAATAGCCTAGATATGGCGTTGTTGAGTGGGAAAGGATTGTTTTTGAAAATAACATTTTTTCCACGCTATTGTCCCCCACCTCCAACCCAGTAGCACATAATGGCAGACAATGTTTTGAGTTGATGCACCCTCTGGGCAGCCACAGACTGTGCAGCATTGGTTATAAACTGAATTATGAGTAATATTCAGGCTGTGACTGGCCGCAAATGTTGACTCAGGCTGGAAAGTGTAACACAGTATAATACCTTAAGTTTGCTTTATGAAAAGACTATAAATTCATGTATTTCACTGGGGATGAACAGTGTCATGAAAAGATGTTGCTTTTATTGTTTTATCAAGCATTTCATGCAAGGTGATGGAAATTTTGTCTTTGTGCATACATCCCTCTATACACATATGTTCATGTACACAGGCTTCAAAAATGGATTAATCACAGTTATTGGAGACTGAAAGCTGCAATAAATGCTGCTGAAAGGAATCCCAGTTATGCTTATACAGTAAATTTGTGCATTACCTGCATATTAGAAATGGATAAATAGCAGTGAATTAAATTAGATCGGTTAAAGCAAAACTGCCAAACATTTGACAATTTTGTCTGCTTTTAGGTTCTCCAATGTGAGGATCTTATTCATCATTTCATCATTAAGTATAATGTAATTCAGTGATTGAAATAGCTGTTGTTATAGTGTTGTCATATTTGTCATATTTTTAACTGTTTTCTCACTTTTGATGAACAGAATAATAATTCAAAGTAAAAAAAAAAAAACTGATTGGGCTACAATAGAAATTTTGGCTGTTTGTGTCATTTTGTTGTTATTTATTCCTCCAATTGTACCAGGGGAAAAGGAATAAAAGGAAATGCTCTTTATAATAACTAAAAAAAACATCATTCAACTCTTTATCTCAGTGTCTTTTAAGGGTTAGGTTAATATAACCCTATTTGGCTTGAAGTGGCATATAATGATAATAAGATGATTATGTGATTATAGTGAGATAATGATGTGTGGGAAAGAATATCGGTGCATCTCTATTTTAAATGAATATTTTATTATTTTCAAATTGAATGAAGATGAATGTGTTTCCACGTAATCATCGTCTCATTCAGCTATTAGGAATTCATGCAAAAACTAATCATTTGCAGCAATTTGTTGATCGGCTGTTAGTACTTCATTTTGATAAGTGTGATAAGTGATAAACTCCAATTCTAATCAGTTTAGAAAAACATTAAGCAGGGATGTCACAATACCAGAAATTGAGTAGTTCCAATACCAAATGTATTAAATGATTCTCAATGCCCATTTAAATACCGTGGTGAAAATAAAAACAAAATTATTATTTCATTTACTTAAACATAAACTGCTTTATAAAATTCATTTCAAATTGTGTTGGCAGGTGACTTGCAGCCTATGTACAGACTATGATATCTATTATTTTATTTGTATCTTCTGAGAAGCACAGGTAAATTCACTGACCTTCAAGTGATTTTGCTTACATTAGTCATATCACTATAACCAAAACTAGTATTTAACCATTTTTGGTGCCCTCTTGATTGTTTTTGTAACAGTGACATTCACTGTTTCTCATAAAAACAAGCTCAATTTGTCTTCTAGAGTAATGATGTGTTTCTCCTTCTCTGTTATCTTAGTTCACACATCACTGCATTTGTTTTCTGTCAAAAAGGATAAAAATGGTGTAAAATGGTCTTTATGTCTGTTGGTATTGTGGTGCACATCTTTTTATACCCTTTTGTGTGCTTGCATAAAAAAAGATGCAAATCAGGGACTCGTGTGTAAAAATGTTGCTCCATAGAGCCCCTAGTGGTCAGAAACTAAATAAGGCACCTTTAAGATGTAACGTTGGACAAATAGGGATTTTTGTCATATTTTGTAGCACGTGTTTCATAAAAATCTGATTTTAATATACAACATCAGGTTGGGTGGAGATTTTGCATATTTCTTTTCACTGCAGTGATGATTTGGGGGGTTTTAGGGAACAAGAATAGCGGTTGGAAAATATCATTAAGAGACTGCTTTCTTCACCAGGAGGAGGACAGTGAGGAGGAGCCCAAGCTGAAGTATGAGAGGCTTTCCAACGGGATGACAGAAATTCTCCAGAACGATGCAGCCAGCTGTATGACCGTCCATGACAAGGTAGAGGTTATGATCCACCACCCGCAGGGGCATTTCCGTGTCAGGTTCACCCATCTCGCGCAGACATTTCACATTGTTTAGGTACACATTTGAGAGATGTCAGCTTCAAAGTTGGATTTCTTCCCTTCTGTTGAATCTGTAAAGGCAGACCCATTATTTTCTCACCTTCCCCTGCTTTTCCCTCTCAGGGAGGTGAATCAGAAGGCATCAGGCACCATTGTCTTCTCCTCTTTTTATTCCCACTCTTACATATTTTTTGCTCCTCGTCTCCCTTTGTTTTTTAAGAGGGCCACTCTCGGCGAGATGGTTAATCATCGTGGCACCAGCGGCACACTTGCACGCCTGAGCAGAGCAAAAGTCATACCCAGTTATGTCTCCTCACCTGATGTTTTATTAACCACTATTGATGTTCGTGTATTTGTTTGTACTTTGAGGATTCTGTTCCCCCTTTTTTCCTTCTTTTAACCTAAAAACAGCAACTGTGCCACAGAGAGAGAGACTGCTTTGCTGAAAATTTAAATTTGATCTGACTTGTCTTTCTTCTTGGGATTTCTATGCTTATGTACTTTTTGCCATCCAGCTACCTGTGTGGTCACACCACCACTACCCTCCCCACCCTCCTCTTCTGTGGCAAACTCCCACAACCCTAAAAGCCACCGACAGCACATACTGCCTTATGTTGCCTCATATTTTAAGTGTCTGAATCGGAATTTCATTTGAACAATTCCATTCTGATAAATCCCTTTAAAAGTCGCTCCGCCTCACAAGGTTGAACCCTTTATTTATTTATTTTTGGTTATTTTATTTGGGGAGATTGCAGGGGCTCTGTCTGACATGCTCAGCTGTGCCTGTAAATATAAGCATTTCATTATAGACTGCACTGAAGCATGCTGGCCTCGCCGCACATCCACATGCTGGTCTAGAAGGGAGGGGGATTAGGAGGAGGGCATGGAGCAGGGGCTGGGGTGGAAGAACACACACTTAATCTAATGCCAAAGCCCCCGGTTTCTATAATTTTTTTGTCCCAGTGGACTCGTGTACACACTCGCACGCACACATACATATGCACACGTGCGCTTCTGCCGAAGCACAAGACACGGAAACCAGTTGCTGCTCAGTAGAAATAATAGCCTTGTGCTGGGCAGGGAGGTGATTGGGTTGCATGGGAAGAAGTCAGATGTACAGTGCATTTATTATGCTTAAGCATTTTAATTTGAGGGGAAAAAAATGCCATTTCACACTGTCTGCTTTAATAAATAGGGCTTTTCCACCCCCTGCAATTTCACAGTTTTGCCTCCAAGCCCACCCAATCCCCACTTTGCCCATGCCACTGCAGATCCAGGAAATATTTTTTTATCCTCTCCCACAGCCGTCATAAACACAAGATTTTTTTTTTTCTGGAAAATCTGGAATTGATTTCAGGTGTCTTCTGGTTTAATTTACATTACATTTGTCTCCTTTCAGTTTCTTGCCTTAGGTACTCATTTTGGAAAGGTCTTCCTGTTGGACATCCAAGGAAATATTACTCAGAAGTTTGAGATTGTGAGTACATTAAAATGCTTTGGGTTACATTAACCAATTACTTTAATTTAAAACACTTTTTAGCCTTGTTAGCTCAGTGGATGCAATGAGAGTCTGCTGTTTATGTTACTAACTACATTATATTGTTGTTCTGTTTGTTTATCAGTTGGCAGTCATGGTCCCGAGAGGAAACGTTTTAATAACGCTGAGATTTCTGTAACTTTAACCTTTCATCCAGTGATGTCATCAGTTAGAAATCTGAATTTACTTTCTTGTGTAACTAAATACCTGTAAAATCAAAGTGATACTCATCTGCTGTACTTGGAATTCAATTCTACTTTTACTCCAAGACATATTAAACACATGAAATAAAGAAATGAGCCAAAAAACAAACATATTAAAATAAAGTTTAAAAACAAACAAACATGTCAGAGGGCAAGAGCCATAGCCTGTATATTAAAGATGGGCAAAGTCACTTTGACGTCACCTTTTGGTTGGTGAAGTCTGATTTTTGAAACTTCAAACTGAGCATTTTGGCCATTTTATACTTAATGTACAGTACTGCATTAAATTTACTGCCAGGCTACAGCATCACTTCATACCCTACACAGTAGCATGAAACGAAAAACGAAATCCTGGTTTTGGTAATGAAAAAAAATTGTTTTGCCAGGCTGAGCCAAGTCAACATTTCAGGTTATTATCTCAATTTTAAGCTTATTTCATCAGAAGTTTGAATTAGTTAATTGAAAAAAAAAACAGTTCTGACAATAATACAAAGCTTTGACTTCTGCATGGAAAAAAAGTTTTTTGATTAATGGAAACAAGTTGCATATAGCTTAACCTGCACATTCTCAGAAATCTGACTACAAGTTGCAGTGATGCAAACCTCAGCATTTGTAATTAGTCTGTTTGGTACTAATATCTAGTATAAACACAGTATTTTGATTAGCACAAGGATACCTGTGGGGAGCAAAATTTAGTAGGTTGTTGTTGTGTCTAGCTTGCTCATTATGCTAATAAAATAGCTACTTTCCTGCCAGTGTAGACAGTTGTTTTATTACGAGCTCTGAGAGTATGTGTTTAGACTGAAGTCTTCATTCCTCCATGCATTTCCTAACCTGTTGGAGCTCCAACATTTTAGTAGCTGCTGTTTAAGATGTATTAGCTCCAACATGCTCAGTTCAGTTTCAGCCCTGAGTCATGCACACCAGCACACATCAATATGTAAGAGACATCAGCATTAGTAATTCAAAGCAGCACTATAAATTTTCCTTTAGCTTTTTAAAACATGAAAGAAACATGGATATTCCAGAGCAATCAAGTACCCTGCACACTTGTTAATAACAAAATAAGCACGTCATGCTTTGTTATCATTCTTGACTCTAAAAGGAGCCAGAGTTTACCAAAGAACATCATTAGCTAATAAATAAATGGTAAATGGCCTGTATTTGTATAGCGCTTTACTAGTCCCTAAGGACCCCAAAGCGCTTTACACAACCAGTCATCCACCCATTCACACACACATTCACACACTGGTGATGGCAAGCTACACAAATAAGATAGGAAACTGACAAATTAGACCACAAACTCATCAAGAAAGTGTTTACTGAGGTCACAGCTCGAGGAAGCTTACGACGGATAACATAGATTTTTGCAACCCCATTTTTAGCCATTATTTTTAGTTCTGCTGTCTTCAGAAACTGTATTTTGTTATATGAATGACGCAGAAAGCTTTAGTAGTGAGACAGACAGTGCTGTGGTCAAGACTGATACTGCTGTTAAATCATTAAAGGTCTAAGTGGAGTATGTATGGAATCATAATAAAGGTAAACACTGAGTCGAAAACCACAACTGGCTGATCAGATACCCAAAGAGGTTTTTGGTTTGTTTTTTTTTCATTGTAAAAATGCAATTCTCCTCCTGGCTGATGAAACTTTTATATTCCTGAAAAAAATACCTAACAGTCAACAGTGTTAACTCGGGCCCTGCAGACAAAATAATACAGTTTAGATCCCATGTGGAAGCAAAAGGAGATATTTTGCGATTTCACGTAGTACCCTGAAGGAAGATTTCACACCCAGAAATGAGCTTGCCTCTCTCTAATTTACTCCTACTATTTTACTACATTACTTCCACTGATCTGGAGGGAATGAACTCTGAACAATAATTTAATTTACAAGTCAAAAAAACAAAACCAAAAACCCCCCCCAAACAAAACAAAAAACAAAAACTCAGTAATCAGGGCTGATTTGGTAGGCAGGGAGGAGTGGGTTTACATTACTGTACCTGCACTCGTGTTTCCAAATGTCGTGCGCCTGCTGAGCATGTTGATTCAAGTGCTACTTACCAGAGAAACTTACTGCCAGTTTTTAAAAAAAAATCATAACCCGAAATAGGGAGGTTGTTTCACAGAACAGGAGAGACACAGCTGTGCTCTAGCTGTTGGATTTAATATGATTACCAAATAGCTGAAGCAACTGCTTTGGAAAAATTGGAAATCTATGATAAGCAAAACAACTTCTTTCCTCTTCAAGTCTACACTGAGGCACCGTCCTCACTTTAGGGACGTTTTTAAAGTAACATTTGCTGTAATTTATGCCATTTAGTTGATCCTTTTATCTTAAGAGCCCTAAATTTAAAAGCATCTGCAGCAGAGGGACCCCTAACATTTTCAGTATTAATGCACTCTCTATGCATTGACACATATGGGACCATGCATCCATTGCCTTTTTTTCTTTTTCCTGGCATTTCACTTAGTTGGGGTAAAATGTCAGCTAGCAACATTTGGCCATCCACTATGATACTCGCCCACCTCTTTAAAAAAACGATGCCGTGATATTGTGTCTCCGCAGAGTTCAGTGAAGATCAACCAGATCAGTCTGGATGAAAGTGGAGAGTATGTGGGCATCTGCTCCGAGGATGGGAAGGTGAGATCTCTCCACTCATCACCGCTAGCTAGTGATCTCTGGGCCTGCAGCAAAAAATGAAATCACCAATCAGTGCTTCTCATCTTTCATAATTCATCCTCTGATTCATATAAACTCGCCTTATCAGCCTGAAACTTTATCATAATGATTTGGAACTAGCAGCGAATTTTTAGACGGCACTTCCTCCGCACTCGGTGCATTAACCTGGAGTTTTATCTTCTCCATATCTACACATAAGCCCCATATTTTTTTCATGATGCGGGAATTTATAAAAAGCTTGTAACAATTTTGAAGCGTGGGGAGGGGTGGGAGGGAAGGATTGCACTCAGATCTGTTGAGCTGTCAGTCAGCCATCAGCCCATCTATGGATACCCTCTCCATGTTCTCCACCTTGCTGTTATCTTGTCTCTTCTCATCATTACCACCATCCTTCATGGATTTTGCAGTCAAGATATGCTTTCTGATATCGCCCTCCCCCTGCTTCCAGCACTCTGGTGGCAAAAACAAGATCTTGTCGCGCAAAAAAAGTGGAGCAGACAATTAAAATCAATGCTATAGCAATTGTTTGCCCTCACCAATTCAGCTGGCTGATAATCCTTTGAAATCTAACTTAATCCTTAACCACTGCTGCGGTTCAAGAGATGAGATAGCGTCAGAGTTTTATATTATTTCCCCATCTTTTTTTGGTGGTGGTGGGGGGGCTTCAGGTAGAGGAAAAGTGGGCGTCATGTACTCTAATGGTACATTAAAGGCTACTGTAGCCAACTGAGGCTGTGGTCAGTCCACGATTAGGATTTCTGCTGTAAACCCTGCAGGGTTGGAAGAATCAACTGGCCCCACTAATTGGTGACCCAGCGGAGAAGTAGGGAGCCAATCAAAAGTCTTTTCTGACCACACTTCCCCCCGCTGGCCTCAGATAGTTGCAGAGGCAGCAATTAAAGGAGAAATTTTGAGTTATTCACCTTTGCTTGCTGTTCTGGTGCACCGTCTCTGTTCCAGGTTCAAGTATTCGGCCTCTACACAAGAGAGGGCTTCCACGAGAACTTTGACTGTCCCATCAAAGTAAGTTTTTCTGCAGACTTGCAGTGTTATAGGATGGAAAATAGAATGAATAGATTTCGCTCTTCTAAACTGTTAAACGTTCTTCACAGGTGGTCGCATTACACCCTCAGTTCACCAGATCCAACTATAAGCAGTTTGTCACCGGGGGCAACAAGGTAGGTTTGAGTAGTACTTTTTACTTGTGCGCTTGTTACACCCACTTTTGTTTTTTTGGGGTTTTATTTTTTTAAAACCGCCATTTTTAAGACATTTCCTGCCGCAATAATGCGTCCTGATTGTGTCCGGGTGAAACCGAATCCTGCACACTGTCTCGCTTTGGCTCGGCTGAGGGCGACGCGCAGGCCTTTGTCTGGTGTGAAAGGCTCTTACTTTTCTGTCTTTTCGCTGGAGTGCTCTCGGGAGAGCTGCCCATTTTCACAAAGTGCTGTTCGCTCAACAGTGTTTGAAAGGCAATGCTTCACAAGCACAGCAAATAGATGTCATTATCAAGAGGGTACATAGTCTTAGGATTTCCGGGCGCATATGGTGATCTCTCTCTGGAAGTTGCCTCCGCTGGGTATGTCATCGCGGAAGGTGAAAAGCATATTAGACATTAGATTTGTCATTTTCTGTTTTTTTTCTTCATCTTTGAGGTAAAAACAGCTACCTACTAGCGCTTGCCTATTACACTACTACAAGCTGCACCGATGTGGCGCCATTGCACAAACCACCTATAAATAAAGTGTGCTGACATTTATACAACAGGGGCGAGGAAAAACTTTTACCACAAAACTCCATTGTTATTGTTACTTTGCTATTTTCTTTCAATTGGCACTGATTTCTCTCAGTTCCAAGTTGTGAAGGCCTCCACAAGTTGCCTGTGATGAAAATCAATACCCCTCAACGGGAGCCACATCCTGTCAAAGGAAATTCAATTTTGTTTCCCCAGTTCTTTTGTCATATCATCTTTTTGTCGAGCAAACTGTTTATTAACATAGGCCAAATGTTGAATTAAAGAGCCTATACAAATTTCTCCCGGCCGCCTTGGTAATAATATGCACTTTTGGGGGGCTTTTTGTATCACTTTATATAGTGAGAACCGCAACAATGCAGGGAATGTGAACGACTTTGTCCTCCACAGAAGGTGCGGTGCAAGGCCTGAAAACTTAAGTTAAGCTTTAATTCATGAAATAGCTCTCAGGGCTGTCAATGCCACATTGCATTGTGGTTAAAAGCACACAAGCCACGCACATCACTCAAAGCTCTCTCGGAGCTTTCACAGCTTTTTCGAGACGGCACAAGAGTAAAGATGGTGCACGCAAAAAGTAATGAACTTACTTATTCGTGTATCTTACATTGTTATCCACGGCACCTTATGTTAATGCCGTGTATCCATGTTATGATGAGAAGGATTCATTCATTCATTCATTCATTTATTTGTTCATTTTCAGGCACAACAAATACCTATATTGAACATAAAATGCACAAAACAAAAAACAAAAATTGCCTGAAAAAGGAGTGGGACGAAGAAAACTTATGTATTAAATCAAAACTGTAATGCCTCATATTTTCAACACCATCTTCACAAATGATCTCGGCCATGTGGATGTTTAATGTTTTCGTCCACCAGTGGAGCTGGTGAAGCTTCTCCCTCAGGTTGACTCACGTTGAGCCATCCATCTTTATTTTCTTTGTGCTTAAATGCTCCAAAGTGGGATTAAGTCTGCACATGTGGAGGAAAATAGGGCTTTACTTCATGATTTTATCAGACATAGCTTCCTAACTGCTTGTTCCAGTATAATACACTGTTCATCTACTGCCCTCTGTAGGCTGGGGTGTAATATTGCACCCTTGAATTAAATGTCCTTACTTTTTTCCCCCCTTCAAGCTCCTTCTGTATGAGAGAAACTGGCTGAATCGCTGGAAGACTTCAGTTCTACATGAGGGCGAGGGAACAATCACTAATATCAAATGGAGAGCTAACCTGATTGCATGGGCCAACAATGTGGTGAGATCTCCGCGACAGTTAAGCAAACCCCGATCCTTCTGTATGCACAGCTTCGTATGTAAAAATGCTGCTTGTTTACCTTCAGGGAGTAAAAATATATGACATCAGCACAAAGCAGAGGATCACCAATGTGTTGAGGGATAATGTGAGTTTGAGGCCCGACATGTACCCGTGCAGCCTGTGCTGGAAGGACAACACCACTCTCATTGTCGGCTGGGGTTCTTCCATTAAGGTTTGCTTTGTTTCCTGCTCGTGTTAATATTAATCACAGGCGCCGGCTGTGGTGTGCGTTCAGTCTAATCTTCTTATTTCTCTTCAGATTTGTGTTGTGAAAGAGCGAAATCCAACTGAAATGAGAGACCTGCCCAGCCGCTATGTGGAAATAGGTACAGAGCACCCCATTTCGTCTTCCACATATGAGACCACTGAAAAATGTGCACACTCTGAGTCACAGAGTTAATGAAATCTGTGCACTGAGTAATATTTTTACACAAGTTAGAGATTGCAAACGTCCTCTGTGCCTCATAATTTAGCTCTAATTTTACATATCGTTGAAATCGTGTGGTTACGATATTGATCATCCTAGTTAATCCTATATTATTGATTGTGCTTCTGAGGAAAACTTCTGGCATTTATGTGCATCGTACTTTAACACATACCTCTCAGCTGAGCGTTGTTGCAGACCAAAAACACTCTCATGGCAATACTTCTCCGATGGCAGCAGCCTCTCTTCAGTTTTATCTTCTCGGTTCTTTTGTCATCTCTTTGTAAATCAATTTTTTTTATTAACATGGCCCAAATGCTGAATTAAAGAGCCCTCTCTTGGCGTCCTTGGTAATGTTAAGCGCCTTGAGATGACTGCAGTGAATTAGCGTTATATAAATTAAACTTAATTGAATTGAAAATGGAATTTTAGGTACTTCTGTGGGGCTTTTTGTTTCAGTTTATATAGTGATGATTGTAAAAATTCAGGGAATGTGAATAACGTTGTTTCCCAAGGCCTGAAAACTTAAATTGCAGTTCATGCTCCTCTGGCAAGACAAAGGCTCACACTGCAAAAACTTTTTGGGGATGGCTTGGTTTTAAAGCTTGGGGCTGATCGGGGCACAAAGTATAGATGTAAATATGATATAATGGGAAATTTCTACCACGTCAACTGCAGAAGAAGGCAGTGCTGCAAGAAGAAAGGGTCCTGTTGTTCAGACAGCTTTAGGTAAATTGAAATGGCGCTCAGGTTCAGTCTGTGCATACTTTTAAGATGGGAAAACAATTAAATGAAATAAATGGATTTCATCTCCTTTTTCTGCTTTCTAAAGTCTTTAACTGAGAAACAAAAAAGTTTAATAGTTGCTTACTTTAGTAGTTGTAAAGCTAAAGGCTGCGTTATGCACGTATCCTTTTAAGTTCAATCGATGTATGAAAACAGAAGGACACTTGCGTATAACTACACAAAAATGTGAGGCATTAAAGGGAAGAAATATTTCACCTTGTTCTCACTCACTTTCTTTAAATGTGGATTGTCGATATTTTGTTTCTTTTAGTTTCTGCTTTTGAGACTGAGTTTTTCATCTGTGGGTTGGCACCACTGGCAGATCAGCTGGTCACTCTGTTCTTTGTGAAGGAAAACTCTGATCAAATGGTAACAATATTTTTTCTTTTAACATACAAGAAAGTCAATAAGGTGTTAGGCATTTTTTGTGCATCTTTGCATCTGTCTATGACACTGGATTGTACATTCAACAGTCAAGATGGTAGTGCATACTTTAAGCTTTAAATCAGTGGGTTTTCCAGAAAGGTTGTATTACTGTTTTATTCATAGTACCTAATTTTCAGAGTGACAGCGAGTTTCATTGCCAGGTGAGGCCTGTACCCCTCATCACTCCATGAGAAATTAAGCAGATAAAAGATCTGTAGTTGATTCCAAGCGTTGAACTTTTATGTGGTATCTTTTTAGTGGAATTCTCAATATGAAGTCCAAAGATGTGCCAAAGTGGTCATCATTAGGCTAAAAAGCAAAAACCTTAGGAATAACTAAATTCAATCTGGTTCATTCTTAAAAAGAAGGAATCCACTGTCCGGCTGAGCAGCACCAAAAGGCTGAGAGACCAAAGAAGACGTTGATGATAAGTTATTTCTATGGTTATGAAAAAGAACTTTGCGACATGTAACCATGTCGGAAACACTCTCAAGGCAATAAATGTGTCGTTGTCATGGTCTACCATCAAGAGATGCCTTCATGAATGTAAATATAGTGTGTAAACCACTGATTACACTCAAGAAGAAGGCCAGATTAGACTTTTTGGAAAATCTCTAAAAGAGTCATGAAAAAGAAATGGAAGTATGAAATCAAGATTAACTGTTACCAGAATGATGGGAAGAGAAACAACTCATGATCTGAAGCATACCAGATCATCTGTCCAACACGGTGGAGGCGGTGTTATGGCATAGGCATGTATGACTGCCAGTGGAACCAGGGCACTAGTGTTTATTGATGATGTGACTGCTGATAGAAGTAGCAGGATGAATTGTGAGGTGTACAGGACAACACTCTATACTCAGATTCATTCAAATGCTGCAAAACTGATTGGAGAGAACTTCATATTGAAAACGGACAGCGGTCCAAAGCAAACTGCAAAAGTAACCCTTCTTTTTTTTTTTAGTCTTTGACTACAAAGGATTTTTACCCAGGTGTTAAAAACAATCCAAATTTTTAAAATTATAATTTTTGTTTTACAATTACTGTTGATTGTATAAGAATAGCTGTAATTTCTAAACAATTAATGCAAAAGTTTTTGTTAAACCCTTAAATTAAAGCTGAAAGTCTGCAAAAGTGTGCACAACAAATGTGTAGGTGTTCAAAAACCTAAGTCAGATATAAAATCATTACATATGTTCGCAGGATGAGGAGTTATGTGCGCGGCCTCGTCTCGACATCATCCAGCCTCTCCCCGAGAGCTGTGAGGAGATCTCTTCAGACGCGCTGACGGTGCGCAACTTCCAGGACAATGAGTGCAGAGACTACCGCCTCGGTGAGACTGTAAAATCTGCTCCCAGAGAAATGTCACGCTGCCTTTTACTGCAGCCTGATTTCATTATGCATCGATTATCAAATGTCAGCTGTAATGTGGGAGTACGCAGAGGAATAAATGTATTTTCATCAACAGAGCATTCAGAGGGAGAGTCACTCTTCTATATCATCAGTCCCAAAGACATCGTTGTGGCAAAGGAGCGAGACCAGGACGACCATATTGATTGGCTGGTCCAAAAGAAGAAATACGAGGTTTGTGTTGTTGAATTTCATGAGGGTTGCTAAAGGTTAACGGCTGCAAGGTCAGAGTTTGATTTTGTGTCCTGTTACTGCGCTTTTAACCATGACATCAGGAGGCACTGATGGCCGCGGAGATTAGCTTCAAAAACATTAAGAGGCACGACGTTCAGAAGATTGGAATGGAATACATCAACCACTTGGTGAACACGAGAGACTATGACAGCGCTGCGAGGTAAGTCCTGCATGTTTGCAGGTGAGCAGTGTTGGCATGAGATATGTAAAGAACAAGATAATGTTTTAGGAGCTCAACCAAAGAAAGTGCTTAAGTCCCTCAGTGACTGCTCTAAAATTTGGAGGTGATCCCATAGAACATAACGCTTTTTCCTAATTTGTGTGACCCTGACCTTTGACTTAGAGCTTGAAGTATTACAAACTAAAATGTTGTATCTTTATTCATATAATTGGACCACTTATGCTTTCTCTTCAAAAGACCAAATGTAAAAAGCAGAATCTTCTTTTTATCATTTAAATGATTCAAGTGTTTTGTTTTTAATTTAAATGTATTTTTTTATTTACTTTTATTCAGAAAGTGTGTAAAGGTCCTGGGGAAAAACATGGAACTGTGGGAGAATGAAGTGTACAGGTTCAAGACCATTGGACAGCTCAAGGTAGGTTTTAACGGCTGTGCTTTGAAGGCATCACTAAAGTGGTTATAACGTTGCAATGAAGTGCGACGCTTGCCCTGTGGAAAGTTGTGTCTCTTATGCTGTATGTGGTGCCACTTCTGTCATGTTTCAGGCCATCAGTCAGTATTTGCCAAGAGGAGATCTGCGTCTCAGGCCGGCCATTTATGAAATGATCCTTCATGAATTCCTGAAAACTGACTATGAGGTAGGTTACACCCCCACCCGTCTGCAGTCTTGGCGTGATGAACGTACGACGGCTGATAGTGCGTGCTGCTTTTTTCTGTAAAGGGTTTTGCCACCCTGATCCGGGAATGGCCGGGAGATCTTTATAATAACATGGCCATCGTTCAGGCTGTCACCGATCACCTGAAGAGGGATCCCACCAACAGCACGCTGCTCACCACGTTGGCTGAGTTGTGAGTGGTCTTAACTTGAATATTACTTGAATATTGAATATTGAATATTGAATATTACGGCACAGAGGCCAGGTTTTTAGGAGCGATTCCATGCGTGTCATTCAGTCTGTAAACACAATGAATTCTCATAAAACTTTGTAAGGGTGTAGATTGCGGTAATGTCAACAATCCATTAATATAACTTAGAAACTGCTATGGTTACACCTGTGCTGTGTTTTCTCAACATATACAAAGTACCATATGAAGATTTGACATGACATGATATTTTAAATCTTAAAAATGTCTTTAAAATATCACTTTTGACCTCTGACCTGTTCTTCAAGGTTGATCTGAAGGTCAAAGTGATCATAAGGCTATACAGAGCTATTTAAAACTATATTCTATATTTCTTACTTTTTGTATTAATAACATACAGTATATAGAATGATATATTTGGTCCTCTGACCTCTTCTTCAAGGTCAAATAAGGTGAAATTTAAAAAAAAAAGTCTTTCGTCTTTAACACTTTGCTTAAATTTCGACTGCCTTTGTTTATATTGGCAACATTTAGGAAATGATACTGGTATATGGGGATTTTAAATATGTTAAATTTGTTGTGAGTTGCTGGTGTTCGATGCTGTTTCAGGTACACCTACGACCAGCGATACGACAGAGCCTTAGAAATCTACCTGAGACTGAGGCACAAAGATGTTTACCAGCTGATCCACAAACACAACCTTTTCTCTTCCATCGAGGACAAGATCGTACTCCTCATGGACTTTGACAAAGAGGTAAAAAGTCATCACCGACTGATTTCCCCTTCATTTGTTACTTATAGATGTTGTTCTTTTACATTTAAACCATTTAAACTGTATGACTTCATGTTGTCAGAAAGCTGTTGACATGCTTCTCGATAATGAAGACAAGATATCAGTAAGTACCCCTGAATTATTTGAATCTTCTTTATCTTCCTGATTTAAAGAAATGATTCTGAGTGACGGATTTTTGACTCCAACAGATAGACAAGGTGGTGGAAGAACTAGCAGACAGGCCTGAACTTCTGCATGTGGTGAGTTATATTTGAGCACCTTAGGTTACTGAATTCAAAACAGATGTTATAATGCAGGGAGTTTGACCAGCCTTTTGCCCACAGTACCTCCACAAACTGTTCAAACGGGACCACCACAAAGGCCAGAAGTACCACGAGAGACAGATAGGCCTATATGCCGAATACGACCGGCCAAATCTGCTACCTTTCCTGAGAGATAGCACCCACTGCCCTCTTGAAAAGGTACATGTCATCCAATCATAAATTCACGTCTTTAGAAGTGAAGTTGGGTAACATAAGTCATTTTGTTGACCTCCTTAGGCTCTTGAGATTTGCCAGCAGAGAAACTTTGTGGAGGAGACAGTTTTCCTGCTCAGTAAGTGTTGATTAAGGATTAAGATTCGTACTCTCATTTGAAAAGATAAGGAAGAGCCTAATCAGACATGTTTCTCTCAGGCAGGATGGGAAACTGTAGACGAGCCTTGCAGATGATCATGGAGGAGCTGGCAGATGTTGACAAAGCCATAGAGTTTGCTAAAGACCAGGATGACGCAGAGCTGTGGGATGATCTCATCTCTTACTCTATTGACAAACCACGTATGTCACCAAATCTCCTATCGAGTCAGTCATGGTAAACCTGTGCATCAATAAATCTGAACTTCAGTTATCTCTTGCTTTTTACTTTATTTACTCCAGCATTCATCACCGGTCTCCTCAATAATATCGGCACTCATGTTGATCCTATTCTGCTCATCCGACGCATAAAGGAAGGCATGGAGATCCCAAACCTCAGAGATTCCCTCGTTAAAATCCTTCATGACTACAATCTACAGGTCAGACATGCGTCCCGGAGATTAGCTTGAAATTTTTTCCACACCCTTCAGCCCATTTCAAATTTACTGGGCCGTTTATAAGATAAAGGACATATTCTTTAATATCTTAAGAAATAAGTGAAGGAAATTTCAGCAGTTCTTCTGTTTGTCCGTCCACATTTTGTCAGTCTGCTTTCTCAAAGAAATACATTGCCACAACTCCTTGGCTTACCCATCTTACTTTGGTGTGGTATGGAAAGCTGAAAGTAGTTCTGAAAAGAATGCAATCTATTCTTGACAACTCGCATCACAATGCTTCTTGGTGCAAACTACAGTATGTCCTCCTCAACTTTAGACTCTGCAAAAGCCAATCACTAGTCCGGATTAGACCCCTTGGTAGGGCAATCGTGATTTAAGATCCTATCGATCATTTAAAGCTTAAAAGACAGTTCTTTTCAATAATATAGTTGGTTCTAAGATCAAGGGACATATACAGAGTATAAAGAGATATAAAACCAGAGAGACATTTTAAATATGTTTGAGTTAAGTTGCAGGCGTAGTCATTGGAGGTTTTAATAAACTGTCTGACTGCAGTCCTGTGAATAAGTACAGCCTGTAGAACCACCTTTAACATCAATAAGTTGAAGTAATTGTTTTCTGTTTAACTTTACCAGTCTCTCACATCATTGTGCTTGAATTTTGACCCACTCTTCTTTACAGCGCTGTTCAGTTCATTAAATTTTGTGGGCATTTGTTTATGCAGAGCTCTTTTAGGGACTCACTGCAGCATTTCAGTCAGCTTGAGGTCTGGGCTTTGAGTGGGCCAATGCAACACCTTGATCCTCTTCTTTTTCAGCCATTCTCTTGTAGATTTTCTGCTGTGCTTGGGTTCATTGTCGTGTTGCATGACCCAGTTCCAGTTGAGCTTCAGCTGTCAGATAGTTGGCCTCACATTTGACTCTGGAATACTTTGGTTTACAGATTAGTTCATGGTCAAACAATGACTGCAAGGTGCCCATGTGGCGTGCCCATTTAACACGCTAACAGAGGCCCGTAGAGTCTAAGATGTAGATATTGGGTTTTTTGCTATTTCTATGTGCTCTGTGGAGCGAATTTGCTGGGACGTCCAGTCCTGGGGAGATTAGCAGCTGTGATGAGTGTTTTCCACTAACAGTAGAATGATGAATCTCAAATCTTTTGGAAATTGGTTTATAAACCTTCCAACACTGAACTTTAAGGTCATGATTGTTGATGTCTTTCCTCCTTGGCATTAACTTACATTAAGCATTAACACACCTGAATGCTCCAGACCGGCAAACTGCTCAAACTTCTGCTTCTATAGATATGCTCACACTCACTGATGATCAGTTAATCAAGTGAGTTTGATTAACAGCACCTGGCTGCTCTCTCATCTTCTTAATTCAGTAAAGATGTATGTTCTTTTTCATATGACTATACTGTTAGAATTTAATTTGACCTCATTCGAGGGTGGTTTTAAATTGCTCAATTCACCGATTTCTGTACCTCTTATCCTGTTTGTTGACAGCTCGTTTGATTTCTTGTTTCTAAGATTCTTTTAAGGGAAGGCTGCAAAAAGATCCTGGTGGCCGACTCCCTCTCCCTGCTCCAGAAGATGCATCGAACACAGATGAGAGGCGTCAGGGTTGATGGTGGGTGCGCTTTGGTGTTCGTGCAGCTCCTTTTGAGATTAGCTATATTAAACTGGACTCTTAAGAACGTTGCTGCTTTTCTTTTCAGAGGAGAACATTTGTGAGTCATGTCATGCTACAATTTTACCCTCAGGTGAGTCATGTAATGTAGGTGTATTCATCTGTTTTTAATGTTGTATTGCATTTGAAAACTCTTCTTTGCCAATTTTTGCAACGTGTGTTTCAGACATGGCCAAAACCTTCAACGTGGTGGTGTTCCACTGCAGGCACATGTTTCATAAGGAGTGTTTGCCATCTTCAGGAACAGTAAGTGACATCTCTATATGCTGTATCACTCTTTACACATTGGTGCTGGGGTATTTTATCTGAGAAGCTCAAATATGACTTCCTGTAACTTTTTGCTCTTTCCTGTCTCAGATTCCCGGGTTGCAGTTTTGTAACATCTGCAGTGCGAAGAGACGAGGGCCGGGAAGCGGAATACTTGAGATGAAAAAGTAATAAACGGTGTACTTAGAGTCTTATTACTGAACTCTCATGTCAACTCAGCGCATTGGTGAATAAATATTACTTCCCTTCAGTCACTCTACTCTAAACTTGCAAAAATCATAAATATTTATGTTTGACTGTCTCTGTACATTTACGTCTGCTTGCTTCTGTTGTGTGTGTGATAACCTGTATGAAAATTAAAATGGAATTAAAGCAGTTTGTGGTTTGTGTCTGATAATTATACACATCTTTGTTAAAATCCACTTCAAGCTAATTGGGTAGAAATGTATTCAAAGGTAGAAGATGGCTGCCACTCCCCGAGCCTGATTCTACAGGAGGTTTCTTCCTATTAAAAGGGAGTTTTTATTTCCCACTGTCACCAAGTGCTTGCTGAAAGGCCTTGAGCTGAGTGCTTTTGTGATTTGGCACTATATAAATAGAGTTGAATTGAAAAGTAGAGTTTAAAATGTTATCAAAGTGCCAATAAATAATCTCAATGAGAAAAAAGATTATTCTTTACTGACTGACAGTTTGTATTTCATTTACTGTAGTAGCAGTGGCGGAAAACATTTGCAGCTTCAGCAGAGATTCAAACTTCTGTAATGCAATGTACTTGATTAATTGGAGCGCAGACATTTAAAACTACTTGAGGCCTAACAGCCTGAATACACTGAATCATTTGTGATATCTGGTTGTTACCTTTTTTGATGGATATTTTTTATGAAATGACAGCTGCACTTTCAAGTTATGTTTTGTTTTTTTAAAGGTTTGTCATGTACACCTCACCACTGTCTCGCTGAACTCGGCTCATAAACTTTAGCAAACTTCAGCACTTCACTTTTGTTCTTAAAAACCAGTACCAGCACACTAAAGGTGTTCTCAATTCTCATCTCACTCTTCAAGATTGCATTAAACAACTGAATTAAAAATGCACCGGGCTATCTCCCAGACATCTTGATACCGCCACAGGTTTGTCATCTGGACCAACTGCCTTTCCACTTTTCATCCTCTCAGCTGTCCTAACTTCCTCCCTACTAATCTTCTGCACTTCCTGTTTCACAAACTGTCCTCAAGCCATTCTTCTCTCTCTTTGATTTTCTTCCTTCATTAGCTCCTCAAAGTAATACTTCCTACTTCTCAGCACACTTTCTTCATATGTTTGTATATTTCCATTTCTGTCCTTAATAACACGAACATGCTGCACATCCTTTCGAATTGATACAAGTCCCTTTCTCCTTCCTTAGTATCCAGTCTCATTTAAATGATCATTAGAATTAAATAAGTATTTCAAGAAATTATATGCCACAGTAGAGATTTTTTAAATCATCATTCATTATAAGAATTTCTGAACAAGCATCAGAATCTGCTCTCCCATTATGCTCTCCCGTTCAGTCCAACGAAAAGAATATTCGCAAAACACAAAAATAGAGTTTCAAATACAGTGTAAACAGTATAAATATATATATGTAAATATATATGTGTGCACTTGAGTCATTATTTATGTTGTGTGTACGTTCGGTAAATAATAATAATAAAAATAATAATAATAATAATTAGACTGTAATTATCAGTATCAGTAGAAACCGTTTAAAAGCTGTGACTGAATTGGGTGATTAAATTTTCCTCTTCAAAAACTACAAATCTCGATTTTGCGGGCGCAATGAGCGCTTCTACGTCATATCCGCCGTTTCCCTCCGGAAGTACAGTTAATTTTTATTCACGGAAAAAAAAGAAAAAAACAGCTGTTGTTGAAAAAGAAAACATCAAAGTGAGTTTCATGGACGAATGCCGTGCTTTACCTGTTCGCTGACTTTAGTATCGTGAGGACTACAGTGTGGGGGCTGTGTTCGGTGTGTCCCGCCGCTCTTTAGGCTGATTTGGAGCAGCGAGGCTCGGTTCGCTCATTTGTTGCGAGTTGGCTGCTGCTGCTGCTGCTGCTAGCTGTTAGCTGTTAGCTTCCATCACTGTGGACTTCCAGCTAGCACGCTAGCCACGCTCAGCTAGCTAACTGACCATTTCTGAGTGTCTGATGAACTCCGAGTGACAGTAAAACCTGCTGGCTGCCAGACAGCTAATGAAATAAGGCGCGTAGATGGGGAATTAGTGCGTGAAAGTAGATCGTACATTGTGTGACTCGTTAGCCTCCTAGTTTACGATTTATCACTGTTTATGTCAAACGTTAGCCAGCTTTGTTGCTTGTGGAAGAAATAGGTAATAGTTGATGGATTTGCTTATAATTACCTTATCATTGCTTATCATTTCCAAGAAAGGAGGTGTTCCCATTTTACTGAGAAAATCCATGATGCTGGAAAAAAAAGTGAATTACTTTGTAACTACAGGATTATTTTCCTTGTAAGTCCTCGCCTCAGCTTTGTCATGTTTTTGTGAAATATTTTGCAGAATGCCGGCCTCAAAGAGAGGATCGGCTCCTCCAGACTCGCAGTCCAAGATAAGGAAGTTGGATGAGGACGGAGAGGCTGCGCCATCCAAAACTGTACCAGCCGCCAATAATCAGTCACATAACAACACAGGAACTATGAAAGAAAAGACAGCAGCCCCATGGACTAAGAAAAAACTCTGTGCTTCACCGGAAGGGGGACATAAACTAGCCAAGTCCCCCAAACAGAGCTCGCCTCTGAAGGATTCCAGCAAAACTTCCCCTGACCCACCTGTCAAAAAAGCCAAGCTCCAGAAAGCCACAAGTGCCTCCTGTGGAGAAGCTGCCTCACCGAAAGCGAACTCCAAAACCTCCCTGAAGCGAACTGCCTCCACGGACTCTGACGAGTTGAGTAGTGATGGTAGTAAGGCTGACTTCTTCAGAGAAAGGGATGATGAAGACAAGGCCCGCTGCATCAGAAAATACTCAAATCGAGTCAAAGCCAAGCGAAAGACGGAAGAGTCTCCTTCTGTCTCCGAGGATACGAGTCAAGGTTTATCTTCTCCACCTAAGGACCCCATACAGATGGACCACAATTATGGTATATTCACAGATTCACCATGTCTTGAAACTACAGATGAGGCAAATGAGAACATTAAAAAAGAATCTGCAGAATCTTTTACTGAGCAAGAGAGACCACAAATATCAGCTATTGCACCACAGGAGGTGTCAAAGGAAACTACGGTCTCTGTAACAGACACCAAATTTGAGTCTTCAGCTAATGAAAGTAAACATAAAGAATTACAAAATGTAGAAAGCCAAAAGGGTGTGGATAATGAAACACCAGCATCATCAAGAGACATTTCAGACCATCTCATATCTGAGGCTGAAAAGAAGGATGAGGAAGAGTTCGTTCAAAAGGATTTAGATGATAAAACACTACCATCATCAATGGAAACACTAAGTTTGGCTGCTGGAGAGGTGGATCCAAAGTGTAAAGATGAAAAACAGTCTTGCATGTCAGAGAGTCTGAGAACTGAAACTAAAACAAATGAAACCACACAGTTTGTTTCTGGAGAGAATAAATTGAGTGTTCAGTGTACAGCTAAGGGATCAACTGAATCTGCCACCATATCTGCAGCCCTTAGTAACGAATTCAACTCTGCATCAGAACAGCTGCTTGTGGAAAGTGGTATTCCAGAGAATGAGACTCAAGCAGACATTGTCAGAGCTCTCGCTACTTCCGACGGGGAATCAAATCTTGTAGACACGCAGGATGACGTGCCAATTGCAGTTACCGACACGTGTGTTGATGTGGAAACAATGGTCATAAGGTCTGAGGAAGATCTTCAAGAAAGCGATGGAAAAGAAGCTGACTTCCAGTTGACTCAGGTCGTCTCTTGTCCTGGAGGTTTGGTTGAGAGACAACTGAGCCATGACTGTGTGATAACTGACAGCTGCACTGAAATATTGATTCCTGATTGCGAGGCTGTTCAAAGAGAAGTGATTTCCGAATGTTTTACAGTTCCAGACGGTCAGATAGCACCTAGCGTAGATCTGCAAAATCAGGAGAACCACAGACTTTTTGACAACACTGCAGAAAAGCCTGATGATGGAGTTAAAGAAGATTCTGAGAGCACAGAAGGAGACACGAGCATGATTTGTGTCACTGCAGCAAGCAGCCAGATCAACATGGATATACTGACTGCAGCAGCATCAGAGGAGATTTCTGTAGTGGAAATACAAAGACAGGAAAAACAGGATGCTCCTGAACCTATTGCAGACATATCTACAAACTTTCATGAGGATCATGTGGGAGAAAACTGTAGAATTATGGAAGACAAACACTCTGTGAGCTTTGGACATAGTAGTGGAGCTGAGACTGAAACTAAAATAGAAACACAGAACATAGTGATTTCAGAAGTTTCTAATACAGAAGTGCAAATTCTTGAGACCCAGGAAATCTGCAACGCTACAACAGCCGAATCCACAGAGGTTCATGTTATGGATGATAAATCTGACAACATTAAAACCTTTGAATGTGCTGATGGGTCTGAGAGCCAAGAGAAAATACAAACACAGAGCTTATCAGCTTTGGAGGTTAGTAATCCAGCAGCTAAAGTGGAAGTACAAAACCAGGAGAGGCCAGACGGCGAAGCCACGAGTGACAAAGTTCAGGAAGATCTGAGGACTGCAAACTATGAGAGCAGCGAAGAAGGTGAATGTGTTGCTGCTGTGGAAAAACGAATGGAAACACCAGACAATGTAGAGGCTGAAACCACATCAGTGGAGATCTGTAACATTGAGCAAACGCATCAGATGAGCCAGGTGGACAGTGAATCTACCACAGCTGAATCACACATGGATCAAATTGTTGAAAATGTGCAATCTGTGGAAATGCAGACAAAATTAACAATGGAGGTTTCATATCCATCCGCTTCAGTGGAAATCCAGAGAAGTCAAACAGAAGTGGAGCTACAGACCACATTGGGGACGAGTTCTGACATTGCACCTGGAGCAGGAATACAAAGTCACAAAAATCATGAAATCAATGAATGCAATACAGACGACATCCCTAAAGAGATTACAGAAGACTCAATAATTGAAAATTTCCAAACTGTGCAGAATGAAGCTAAATGTGTGACACTAACTCCAGAGATTTCTGAAGCAGCTCATTCAGTGGAAGTGCACAGTGAGAAAAGTCCAGAAGTAGTGGAGATGGAGTCTGCAGCAACATCAGAGGAGGTTTCTAACATACCTGCAGCGCAAATACAAAACCAGGAGAATCAGGATGTTGGTGCACATATTACAGACACAGTTTATACAGAGTCTGTGACTGTCCCTAAGAACGAAAACAAAACAGAAGATCAGCCTAAATCGCCAATAGAATTTACCGGACATGCCTCTATGGTGGAATTACAGAGTGAGAAAAGTCAAAATGAAGTTGAGATGGAAACTGCAACAACATCAGAGGAGGTTTCTGACACATCTGCAGTGGAAACAGAAACCCAGACGAGTCAGGATGTCTGTGAAGATGGTGCAGGCATGCAGATCGACTCTGTGACTGTTGCAGAAAATGAAAACAAAAAAGAAGAAAAGGCTAAAACCACACCAGAGATTTCTGAAGTGGTCCCTTCAGTGGAAGCACAAAGTGAGAAAATTCAGCGTGAAGTGGGTATGGAGTCTGCAGCACCTTCAGAGGAGGTTTCTAAGATATCTGCAGTGGAAATCCAAAGTCAGATAAGCAAGGTTATCACAGAATATAGCACAGATGTACATACACAGTCAGTGACATCAACACCAGACTCCCCTAAAGAATCCACCTCAGTGGAAATCCAGCTGGTGCAAAGTCAAAATGAAGTGGATGCGGAGCAGAAAACACCAGAGGAGGTTGCTAGCATACCTGCATTGGAAATAAAGGGCCAGGATGTCATTGAACATAACACAGACATACTCATGCAGCCCATCAGTGTCTCGGAGAATGAAAATGAAATGGAAAAACAGGCTCCATCGATATCAGAGGCAGAGATTTCAGTGGAAGTACAATGCGGCAAAAGTCTATCTGAAGTGGAGATGGAGACCACAACAACATCAGAAGAGCTTTGTAGCCCACCAGCAGCAGAAACGCATAAGCAGAAGAGTCAGGATGTCAGTGAACACACAGAAGATTCATATACGCAGCCCGTCGCTGTCCCAGAGAGAGAAATTGAAATGGAAGAGCAGGCTAAATCGACACAAGAGATTTCAGTGGAAATACAAAGTGAGAACAGCCTAAATGAAGTCGACATGGAGTCTGCAGCTGCATCAGAGGAGATTTCTAGCACACCTGCAGCGGAAATACAAAATCAGACGAGCAAAGATGTCTGTGAACGGAGCACAGACGTACATACAGAGCCTGTTACTGGTGCAGAGAATGAAAACAAAAAGCAGGATACATTAATAGCAGATATTTCTATTTCAGCACACAGCCAGGAGATACAGGAAGCCACTGAACCTACGGGAGACATATCTAAAGAAGTCCACAAAGGATTAAGGAATCCCACAAATCACCCCAACAAAGCACATTGTGTCACTGCTGCTGAGAGTCAGGTGGAAATGGAGGCAACAGAAGCACCAAAGGAGACATCTGAGCCAACAAATAACCCAAGCCAGAAAGGTCAGGAGGTCAGTGAACTGACTATAAACACTACAGTAGAGAAAGACTTTATTAATGCTCTGAGTGAAGAGGAGGATGATAAGGTTAAGGCCGACTGTGTCATTGCTGCTGAGAGTCAAAGAAAAGTGGAAGTGCAGACAACAGAAACACCGGAGGAGGTTTCTGATCTAAAGAATGTGCCAGAAACACAAAGTAAGAAAGATCGGGAGACCACTGAGCTCAAAACAGACACTGAGGCAGGTAAAGATTTCATTAATACTGAAGAAAAGGATGACAAGGTCGATGCTGAATGTGTCAGTGTTACTGAGAGTCCAGGAGAAATGGAAATACAGACAGTAGAAGCACCAGAGAAGATTACTTATCTGACAAATAAACAAAATCAGAGAGGTCAAGAGGTCAGCGAACTCACTACAGACACTGAAGTGGAAAAAGATTTGACCGGGACAGAGTGCGAGGAAAAGGATGTCGAGGTTAACGAGGAAAGCTTAAGCGCTGTTGAGAATCAAGGAGAAATGGAAGTGCAGACAACAGAATCAGGAGAAGAAAGATCTGACGTTGAAGTACACAACGATGGAAATCAGGAGGTCGGTGACGTTCAGGAAGATCTTATGTCTGCACGCTGTGAGACTAGAAATGAGGAAGAGCCTGCTTCTGAATGTGTTAACATTTTAGAAACTACTGCAGAAGGGAGTCTTTATCTAACAAAACAGCAAAGTAATGTTACTGAGGAAATAAATGAAGACACCACAGCGTTATTAGAAATTCAGAAACAGAGAGGGCCTCGTGCTGACGTGGATATAACAAGTGAATCAACAGAAAGGGAAGCTTCAGTGTTAGAAGAGGAAACGGGGAGCCAAATGTTTAATGAGGTCAAGGCTGACGGATCTGTTGGTAACATCGAAGGAGGAGGAGCGGATAGCAGCGAAGTAATGCTTTTTGTTTGTGGGCAAACCGACAACAACAATGTCGTAATTCAGCCTTCTGAGGAGCAGATTGAGATGGTTAATCAGTCAGCGGTCGGGCCCCATGAAAACCAGATAGTGTACGAGCCCATTAGTAGCCCAGAGAGTAATGATGATCGTGATGTGTCTGCAGCGGCAGCAGAGAAGCACGATGCCGTTTCTATATTAGATATACAATGCACAGAGGCTCAACAGATGGAAACAAACTTTTCCAGTAATGAAGACAACAGAGAAATTGGTGGCATGCAGCTGGTAAATGAAGTTGCTAAGGAGGAAATTTGTGTCCCAGACAGCCAGGCAGGGGTTGAAATGGAAGTACAAGCGCAGCCAGCACAGTTGGAGCAGATTAACGCTACCGTGGATGTGAAAGAAGTTGCACCGATCAGTTCTGGCAGTGACATGAGCGTGGCAGATGGAGGGTCAGGAGATGCTGCAGAAGTGAAGAGTGAAATGACAGTGAAAAGTGAAGGAAATGGCATTTCAGAGTGCATCAGAGCCACTGAGTTTTCTGAGCAGGTGCAGCACGATGCTGGCGTTCAGGAAGCTGCGGGCGTCACGGTAACAACAACAACTCCACCAACAACGACTACATCCTCCACTGAATTTGAGGTACCAGGTGGTGCATCTGAGGAATATGTGATTTTAGAGCCAGTCCCACAGAGTGAAATTCACTTTGATATCGTCACTCAAGCTGCAACCGAATCAGGTCTGGCGGCCTCTCTTTCAGAGGAGGTGAATCCAGAAAGTGAGTCGATGGAGGAGAAGGCGGAGAGTGAGAGGACTTTAAATGGTTCCGAGCAAACTGTGTTTACTGAAGCGGCGGCTAGTTCAGGGGAGGTAGCAGAGCAGGAGACAAACATTTCACCTGTGGAGGAAGACGTTCAGGTTATTCAGCCTTCTGACCACCAGTCATCTCACATGGTGGACATGAATACCTCCCATGACTCTGAACCCCAAAGCCTGATTGAAGACATTAATGTAGTGGTGATAGAGGATGCTCAAGATAACCTGGACATACAAGAAGTGCAGATTCTAGAGGACATCGAGATCGGACATGAGATTATAGTGATGGAGGAAGAGAATGATGAAGACAGTGACATTGCAGTAGTAGAAAAGCCACAAGAAACAGCCGAGGCAGGCCTGCCTGAGGAAAAGGTGAATGAGAAGTACATATGTAACACTAGTGGGCCTGACATGAAGCAAAACAGCACAGCTGAAAAGACCGAAGAGGAAAAGAAAGCTCAAGAGCCAGAAAAACCCAAGAAACAAGAAATGAACACGCAAGCGAGAACCAAAGCTCGCCTCGCAGCTCTGGCTGAGCAGAAGGCTGCGGCAGCTAAGAGAAGTTCAAATAGGCAGCAGCTGAATCTCTTAGCCCTGTGTCAGGAGATCGCAGAGGACATTGCCACAGACAGCATGCTGCTGAAGAGGATAGAAGAAGAAAAACAAGCGGCAGCAGCAGCAGCCAAGAGTGAAGCCAGCAAGAAGGAACGCCCGCCTGTTAACATGCAAGATGCCAACACGATTAATGTCGCAACTCCTGCTGGACCAGAGGGATGCGCCCCTCCTTCGGTGACCCCTGCTCCTGAGGCCCCCCCAGCCCAGCCCTCAACGGCTGATTCAGCCGAAACTCAGCCTTCCGCCGAGCCTCCAAAGAGACGTTTCTTCATCACGCAGATTTCAGTGCCGCTGAAAGTCCACGAGAAAAAGAAGCTGACTCGATATCAAAGACTCAGACAGGTCGAGCTGCAGAGAGAGAAAATGTCGTGGGCACGTGTGAAGAAACTAAAGTCTGACCAAACAAATCAGATGTTCTCAGACATGGATTGGCAGGCACCTTTTTCTGCTGCCTCTCTTTTTCCAGTGAGCCCTGTTACCACACCTCCTCCTCAACCTGCAGCCAGTCCAGCAACCTCCCAACTGAGTCCTTCTGCATCTAGCAAACCTGCTACACCGAAGGCAGAAGCTCCCAAGAATGAGCCTAAGGCTGAGCTGGCTAAAACTGAACCATCTAAAACTGAACCCACTAAAACTGAACCCACTAAAGCTGAAACCTCCAAAAAACAACCAACGATAACTGAAACTCCTAAAACTGAACCCCCTAAAACTGAAACTGGCAAACCTGAAGCCTCTAAAACGGAGCCTCCTAGTACTGAAAACCGTAGAACTACACGGCAAAGCAAGGCTCAGACTACTAAAGCAGCAGCTACTCCAGAGCCCGCGCCAAAAGTCACAAGATCAGGAACCAAGAGAACCCTCCCAGCAATACCACCTCCCATGCCCAACGGACTTAATGCTCAGAAACTGAAAATGGAAGTTGAGTACAAGCCATACAGACCCAGGCCGAAATATTCTCCTGACGATTTTGAGCTGGATGATGACCCATTACCAGCAAAGCCGAAACCACCCGGCCTCCAGTCAAACCCTTTGGCTCAGCCTAAACCCACTCTACTATCAAAGCCCACGCTCACAGCGCAACTTGCCAACCAGGCAAAACTCAAAGCTCAGACCAAGGCTGCTGGGCAGATCTCAGGTCAGTCAAAGCCCTCTGTTGCAGCTCCAGCTCAGTTAAAGCCCGCACAGTTAAACCCAGCTGTTGCACCAGCAACACAGTCTAAGGCCACAGCTGCAACTGCAGCTTCATCCAAACTTGCTTCTTCAGCGAATGCTCCGTTAAAGTCTCCAGTCCCGACTGCAACTCAGTCTAAAGTTGTTTCAGCTCCGGCTCAGTCCAAGCCTGCAGCTTCTGTTTCACCTCAGCTGAAGACTGCAGGTGCCGATGCTAATCTAACACAGCTGAAACCATCTGCTTCACCTGCAGCTCGGCCTGCTGTTGCAGCCACATCTGGGATGAAGCCTGCTGCCTCTAAGGCTGGTGCAATTTCAGTGCCTCAGAGACCCACAGATCCCGCATGTAAAGAAAACGACAAGTGCAAGGTAAGTCAGAAATAAATTATTCTATGATCAGTGTCACAGGCGCTGTACATGTTACTTAACTTATTTCTTTCATACACAGAATGCAGCTCATCCACTTTCATCAGCTCCACCTGAAGAGAGCGCCAAAGTGTCTGACAAGCTTACAGGTATCTGTGTATATTAATTGCAATCCTGACTCAGATTTACCTCCATCAGCTCGTCCAGATTGTCTACCTGTCTGTGCCAGTGTCTGCTAGCAGGATTACTCAAAAAGTCATGGAGAGGTTTGCCTGAAAGTGCTACCAGAAGTGTCCCAACGTAGACGTGATTAATTCAGATTCAGACTCTTTATTATTTTGAGGAAAAATAGAAAACATAAGCTTCACAAATACATGTGAAATGGAAAAAAGAAAAGTTGGGAGGCATCATCTTGGTTTCTTGAAAATACCTCCAGTTAATCTGGATCAAGCATCCAGAGAGTCTGTATTTTCAGTTATGGTAGAGGGCTGCACTACCAGTGTACGATCCACAATTTTTTATGAGAAAAAAAAGTTAATTTTTATCATTCAGATTTGAATTAGGCCATAGACTAGAATAATTTATCAAAATAATGAGGCAAGCAACACACATTTTAAATCCTGCTCTTTTAGGTTGTTTCTTACTTCACCTTAATCAAAATAAATGCATAGAAATGTTTAAAAAAAGTGAAATTCACATCTCTCATCTTTAACCAGCTTATTCTTCCTGGCAGGCCGACACTGTTGCATAAACGTGGTTCTTATCTGCCTGCTTATAGGACAGCAAACACAACATGCAGTGTTTGGATAGCTGTTAGGTTGAAATTCAGGCCTCTAAATACTGATTACATTAAGGTAAGCACCCCTGTCAGCGTGCACTTAGTTGCGTCTGCAGCTTTGTGCTGGTAGTGTTATGTCTCACATCGCCGAACACTGGACCTGAACAGGTTACCCACAAGGTCACGTTCCTTTAAAGGGTAAAAACGGCAATAAAACTATCTGTCCACCTCAGATTTCAGCTTCTTTCATCAGTTAACCACGAGTGCAGCACATGTTGTCATATAAGTCCAGTCTTGGATCTTTGACTAATGTTTCAAAGCATTAACTTTTCCAAGATCAGCGCTAAATGTTATTTATTTATTTATTTTACTCTCAATATGTTGTTTAAGTAAATTAGGAATTTATATTTTAAGTTTTTTTTTTTTTTATTATATTTTGTCAACAACCTTCTTAAATGTGTGTATAATTATGTTGCTGTGTAAAATCCTTTCTTTTATACGTTGATCTTTCTCCAGAGAGTAAAGCAGAAAGCTTGAAGGAAGCAGAGCAGACATCAGGAAAGCCTTGTCAAGAGTAAGAAGCTTTTCTAAAGTTGTTTGACATGTTTTATTTTGTTTTTTTTGCCTCTTAGCGGTTGAAACCTTCAGTAACCCGATGTGTTTTTGAATCGCAGCAAAGCCGTGAAGCCACAGGATGGCGGGGCTCCTCTCTCCGAAGCTTGCCTGCAAAAAGAAGTCAAGAAGCTAAAGGAGGCTGACAAAGATGGCACCCAAACAGTTATTGTGAGTGAACGAGATAGTTTCCTCTGACCTCATTTTAAATCCTGCGCTTTTGCAATGGAAAACATGGATCATAAGTTGGGTTCTTTCTGTGTTCTGTCACTCTGGAAAACTAAGTGAAATTGAATTCTTGAGAGTGAGCTTATTGCTTTGCTTTGTTCTCGCAGGATGCAGGACAGAAGCATTTTGGAGCAGTGGCCTGCAGTGTGTGTGGGATGCTCTACTCTGCTGCCAACCCCGAGGATGAATCTCAGCATTTGCTGTTTCACAACCAGTTCATCAGCGCCGTCAAATATGTGGTGAGGGAAAGTCACATGCCTATGCCTGTTAAACTGACTCCCTGGATCAGAGCAATAAATGCCAACAAATTTATAGATATGGTTTACAAAAAAATATACAATGCAGTGCAGGGACAACTGAGGATTCTTGATAAAGGGAGTCTTGACCCTCGTCTTCCACTCTATGCTGCACTACAGTGAGCAAGACTGCAGGTATTTGATAAGATTCCTCCTTAGGATTGCCCGTTGGACATTTTCTAACTTCCCACCTCTAGAAAAGTAGGTCAGCACAGCTCTTTGTTTATTCAGTTCAAGTGTGATTTATTCTTACTGACTTTTCTGGTGGCAGAAGAGACCGTAAATAAAGTTAAATTGAAAATGTAATTTTATTTGGTTTACGTCAAATGATTCTGTCGGCTTATAAGAAGATTTATTACCTGGAATGTTTTGCGCCTATTTGCCAAAATTGTCCAAGATTGGGAGTGACTGCATATAGAAAATGGATTAATACCTACTTAGGACATTTAGATGACATAATTAAATATTTTCTATTCTTTTTGCTTTCCTTTTTTTTGTCAGGGTTGGAAAAAGGAGAGGATTTTGTCTGAGTTTCCAGATGGCAAGATCATTCTCGTCCTGCCAGATGATCCCAAATATGCTCTGAAGAAGGTATGTTTACACCAGCGTTTGCTAGCGTGAACTCTTCAGGGCTTATATGTCTGGATTGATAGTTAGGTCCCCAAAACAAGAAGTTCCCAGTTTTTATATTTTTTGGCTCCGTCTTTTACTGCCACCGAGTTAACATGAAATAGCCAGCATGCAGTTGAATTACAGACTGCTGTAATTCTACAGGTTGCAACAACCTCCTCAAGTGTAACAGAATAATAAGTATAAATACATTTAAATAAAAGACTCTTTTGAGAATCCTTTGCAGGGAGTGACTGTCTGAGGTAGCAGTCACACGGGCCTAGCAAAAGGTAACAATAGGTACTTTTCTCCACTAGGGAAAAATGTGTATTCCCTGACATGTTGCCAAGTGGTTGCTTTGTGTTGCAAAGAGGGTACTGCACCAAAAGTCTTGCAATTGCTTTGCTTGCTAGTAGATTCCCATGATCACTAGAGGTGGGCAGGTCAATCCAAATGTGTTGATAGTGTCGATCCCAACACTGGTATTGGTATCAGATCGATACTAGCACGATATGATCGATATTTTGTTTCCACTCTCTAAGTTCAGTATGTGTCACACTGCATTGCGTTAAATTATTTTTGGGGGAAATGGAAAAAACACAAACCTCAAGCATGCACTAAAATTTTATTTATAGCCTATAGTAGGGATGGGTATTGATAAGATTTACACGATTCCGATTCCATTTTCGATTCTGTTTAACGATTCGATTCTTTATCGATTCTTTTTTTAAAAAAGGAGTTTCAGACAAAGTTCTAAGCTAATCGACTCGATTAGCTTAGAACTTTGTTTTATATCTTCTCTTTGAACAAGATAGAAATTTAGGAGTAGCATGGCCTTACAAACCCAACAGTGAGGTCTTAAGAGATCCAGCCTATGGCTCTTCAATGGGGTGTCACAGGGTCCCCATGAAAAAAAGTTGTAAATGTAAAATAATAAAATAAATATTCTTCTGTAGCAATAACAAAGTATAACATAAATTATTCTGTAACAATTACACAAGAATATCCAGAAATGTCCCTGCCTACAATTAAACACATTCACTTACCGAAAATCGGGGGCATCTGCTGTGGCAAATGGGTGCAAGCTTTTTACCACAAACTTAGTCACTGCTCGGTGACATTTGTCTATCCTGGCCTGAAAGGAGACGCTACCGGCAGACTGCAGCGAGAACTGCCAGCATCTGAGCCAGCCAGACTCTGTCTCTCTCATCATGGTCACCTAAATGCACAGTAATGGCAGGTTTTGTAATAAGGCAGATCGCGCTAACATAATATGCACTGTTAGTTGATGATTTACCTGCTGCATTAAAGGGAGAGGACGTGCAAACGTTACCGCTGCAGCTGGGTTGAGATTCACGAGTCCGGAGCGGAATTAAAAACATGACATTCATTTAAGGTCATCACGTGTTTTGTGAGCAAATGCTTTTGCATATTCGTAGTGTTTCCTCCCTTAAATGAAATATCTACTTTGCAAGTATTGCAAGGCGCCCTGTTGTAATCCGTTCTCGTAAAGTATAACCAAACTTTTTAGCGTTTGAGCCGCCATGTTTCCTGCCAGGTAAATGACACTCCGCAATGTGGTGACGTCATTTGGGGCGACTGGAATCGATAAGGGAATCGTTTGCAAAAATGGCAAACAATTGCAAGGAATTGAAACAGTGGAACCGGTTCTCAACAAGAACCGGTTTTCGATACCCATCCCTAGCCTATAGCACATTTAAAGAACAGAAGGCATTTAAATTCTACATTTCTAAAAAAAACACCAAACTGTTTCAAAATGCATGAAAAACTGAAAGGTGTGTATTACTAAGTGGCTTGTTCTTTGGAAAGTAAAAATCACAGCAATTTAGTGGCCATTAAAATGTGTTCAGAATTTATAAATTAGTGATGATTCAACTCATAAATCACGACACATTGCTGTTCCTTACATAAGCTGCTTTTTTAAGTTAATAGTATCAGTATTGGTATTGCTAGTATTGGCTCTGTATTTACTTAGTATTGGTTCAATACCAACATTTGCAGTATCACACAGGGAGACGTTGACTTGCCTGCAAATTGATAACTGAGCACTAAACTGAAGTTAAACTTGAGAAAGTGGGACACAAACCAGAAACAGAGAATATTCCCCTTCAAAGTAAAAGTCGTAATTTACTACTACTACTATTGCCCGCCACCCCTCCCAGGGTATGGGGTGCCACAGGTAGATCTCAAGAGATTTCTGTCCTGGGCCATTCTTTCTAGTTGGGTCGAGGTGCAACCAATATATTTTAAAGGGTGAAGGCTTTGCTTTGAAGGTGGATGTTTTCTTTTCTTTTTTAGTGAGTTTTTGGTGAGTGTTTGCATTTCATTCAGCAATAGCCTTCAACAACTCGCCAACTGATTGGGTAATTTTTTTCCGCTAGCAACGAGCAGTTACCTGGGAATCCCTTGCCAGTCTCTAGGCCTGTGTGGCTCGGGCCTAAGGTCTGAAACTCAAAGCTTTTACTGAAGCTATTTACTGTTGTAGGGTCTTTCATCGCTCAGTTTTTGTCTTCAGCAAGTAAAATGCTCATTCATGTTTGTGGGTCTCTGTGTGACGTAAGCAGCCAACTTTGCTGCGTTTGTCTGAGTCTGAGCAGAGAATTCACCCTTATGCACTTAATAATTTAAAGAGCTGTAAACAGCTGAAATGTGAGCAGACAGACTGCATAACCTCTGCTAAGGCTGAAAAGCACATCACAAGAATGCCTGGATCTGGATTAGCTCGTTATATTTTCCTGAAATTTACAACCGTGTATCTCAGTTTTTCAGCTTGCATTTGTAAATGTGACACCAATACTCCAAGTCTGCCCTGCCTTTGAAAAAAAAAAAAGTGCTCAAGTCTCACTTGGACTGTATCCTTAGATATGCTCCAATATTTATCATCCCTGCATTAGCATACTGATTCTTGGATGTACAATAATCTGTTCCTCAGGTTGAGGAGATCCGGGAGATGGTGGACAATGACCTCGGCTTCCAGCAGGTGGAGACCAAGTGTCCCTCAAAGACCAAAACCTTCCTCTTTATCTCTAATGACAAGAAAGTGGCTGGGTGTCTCATAGCTGAGCACATACAAGAGGTAAGAGATGATGATGAGCACATTTGTGAATGATCATCATGTAAAAAATGGGATAAATGAAATTCTTGGCTGATACAGATGTTTAAAATAGCTTAAAATATGAACTAAAATATTGCGTTTTGTGTTTCTAATCTTTCTTTCTTCCTCATGTAACAGTTTTAAGGTATCTGAGCATTTAGACAGACCAAATGGATATAATACAATAAACAGATGTTCGACCGCTGCTATCAGTAAGTGTCCGTTTATTCTGTGACGTTTACTGAGGATTGTGCATGCTCACAGGGGTACAGGGTGATTGAAGAGCCCATGCCAGAGGGTTCGGAGGGAGAGAAGTTGATGTTTGAACGTCAGAGAGCTTGGTGCTGCTCCACAACGCCAGAGCCCGCCATCTGCGGCATCAGTCGCATCTGGGTGGTCAGCGTGATGAGACGTCAGGGCATCGCTTCGCGCATGCTCGAGTGCCTCCGGTCAGTACGGCTGCAAACCGCCAGTCATTTCATCGTCATCATCACACACACACACACACACACACACACACACACACACACACACACAATCAAAGTCATATTAATGCAACTCGTATTTGTTTGTTTTTCTGCACAGGAATAATTTCATATACGGTTCATACCTGAGCAAAGATGAGATCGCCTTCTCCGACCCCACTCCCGACGGGAAACTCTTCGCCACGCATTATTTTGGCACTTCCCAGTTTTTGGTTTATAACTTTGTGAGCGGGACACGCTCGCACCAACCCAAAACCCAAGCAGTATGACGGTCTTCGGATACCGTAACGATGGCTTCATCTGAGACGCTCACCGACCAGTGGGACATCCTCACCAAACACTGAATCTTCACGTGTGTTTTAAAAAGAAAAACCTCCTCGGAGGGGTTACACATTGGTTCAAATCTCAGGATGAAAACAACGAGGTGTTGTTGAAACATGATATTTCACCCTTTAATCCTTCCCCGCATAGTATTTTGAAGAAAAAGAGTATTTTCTTTATACATTTTTAAGTAAACAATTGGTTTTATTAGGAGAATAGAGTTTACATGCATGATCTGACAGCAATAGAAAACAAAGAGCATTTTATCGTTTTATCTTTTGAATCCTCGTGAAGCGTAACCATCAACCTGCTGCATTAAACAAATGGTTATTTGCAAGTTTGTTCCTCAGTCGGTTTTTGTCATTTTTACACCCGTTTCCTGTAGTGGAGTGTGTTAAGCTGCCGTTGTCTCCAGATGTGTTTAAGGGACGTCGATAATCCCTGAAGGGCACAACTGCACAATTTCTTTTGAGGGGTTAAGCTGTGTTTCCTACACTTTGATTTCACTGTCATGTTTTTATTGTAGTATTTCAGAAACAATTTCGACACCTTGATTAGAGAGATGTGGGTTAGAACTGTAGCTTGGGCATTATTTGTGTGCTCCGATCTTCTGAGATCACATTACCTGACTTTTTTCCCCTCAAGCCGAGCCATATACTGTTCACCGTTTAGCGAGGCGTTATAGCCTAAACTGTATGAGTGGTGTCTTTAAATTTCACCAAGGCTGTCTTTTGCTTTGTTTGTGCCTGAATGAATCATGTGTGACTTAAGTTGTTGATTTATTTTCTTTACTTTTTTAGCCACATGTTCTTCTTAAGTAGCATCTGGCTTTGTTTTTTTATTCCAATAGTGTAGATTATCATCTTCCTATTCCTTAGTAACAATGAATTAAAATGTATATCAAATTATCATGTAGATTTATGCATAGTATAACAAGATTTATAATGAAAGATGGGCAAGTTCTTAAGTGTCACGTGTTAAATGGTGTTTGAGTGAAGGTAAATATCAACCAGGTTCAGCCTTTATGATTGAAAACAGGGATATTTGCTCAGTGATCAACATGAGGGGTTTAGATTAACCCGCCTCTCTTCAGATTAACAGTATCATTGTAATCCACCTCTTATTTTCTTCTTCCTCCTTGTTAAAGCGGTTGATTTTAGAACGATGTGGTTGTGTAAGAAAAAGACATTTGATTTATACGAAGCTGTTATGTAAATATTTATTTAAATAAAAGTAAAATGTAAAACATTTTTGGTGTTTCTGATTAGCTGCTTTTGACCTTGTATGGATTTTTCCTAATTTTCTGTCATGTAAATGCTGTTATAGTCGTGGCTTCTGATATTAAAAGAGTTTCAAATAACGAGGTCAGTATACACTCGCTGGCCATTTTATTGGGTACATCTTACCAGTCTTTTGCCTCAATTCTTTGTGGCTTAGAATCAACGACATTCCTCAGAGATTTTGGTCCATTTTAATTCAGCAAGCTCTTGATTAAGAGTCATGTTCAAGAAATATGTTTGTGATCATTTGAATTTTGTGACATGGAAGCAGCCATGAGAAGATGGGAACACTGTGGTCAAATGGACATGGTCAGCAGCAATTCTGTGGTGATTCGGTGATGCCCAGTTGCTATTAAAAGTCCCACATCCTCACACCATCAGCAGCCTGAAATGTTACTGGAAGGCGGGGTGGATCCATGCTTTTATTTTTATGTCAAAGTCTGATCCTAATGAAAACTCCTAAGACCAGAAACCCTTTTTCTGATTTTGGTTAGACTGTTTGTATAGTCAGTTTCCAGAGTGTGGTCTTCTGCCGCTGCAGTCCTTCTGAGATGCTCTTCTGCATAACTTGCTTGTAATAAGTGTTTGAGTTATTGTTTCCTTCCTGTCAGCTCAGAGCAGTCTGGCCATTCTCCTCTGACCTCTAACAGACATTTAGCTTAACAAACAGTTAAACAGCATGTTCAAGTTGATTGATTGTATGTGCAAATACTCGCTTTGAACCAACAGTTTAGGCTTAATGTCGTAATCACTCAGTTTTAGACCGTTTTTTTCTGACTCGACTCTCAGCGTTGTCAGCGAGTGTGGATGTCCCTAATGTGGTCATCTCAGGCACAGAAGCCCCACCCACTTGCTGTTCAAACATAAAGTTTAAGGAGGTACAGACCGTGATCTGAGCTTAGTATAAGATAAACAAGGATTATTTTCAATAGTGAATCATGCAAAGCTACTATACTAAGATTGAAAATAAATATACGTAGCTGTAAATCAGCATACTAGGTCTGCTTTAATTGCCCGTGACCCTGTTTTTTTTATGAGTAATGCCATCTAGTGATCATCGTCCTGGTGCATCTGTGTTCGGTGATAGTCGAAGGATTTTTACCCTTCTTTGCTTTGATGTAAAAATCGACTTCAGCAGAAAAGATAGTCTTAAATCGTCTCAAATTGTGGGAAATGTCTGGCTGCCGTGTTTTCTCTTTGTAGTTGCACATGTAAACACTCCCCTCTTAGCACATTCCTAGACGCTCCTGTCACAACACGGGCCAGCTCGATGGCAACTTCTGAGAAACAAAACAGCCTTGGAACAACACAAATGCTTCCTCAAACAGAGTGAGAAAACAGAGGTCTCCGCTCCTCTTCAGAAATCTGCTGATGCTAATCAGCAAGAGAAAACAAGCGAGCTGAGCTTCTTGAGGTGTCTTTAACACGACGCCCACCTCGGCCTTTACACTTTTACTCACCAAAAAAGGCTAATCTCCAAGACATTAATCACCCAGGATCTATAAAAAATAATCTGGACTGAGTTTAGTGTAAAAGAAGTGAAAAATAGAAGACGAACATTTGGAAACACATACTTTTAATTCTTAAATGTCAATTTTAAAAGACAGAAACGTCACAGCTGCCACATCGTAAACCATAACACAGTTTGTCCTAATGATAGAAACCAGGTTATTGCAAATATGCATTAAGCTATGGATACTAAGCGAAAACCAGGAAAGGTCCTATTTACACTGAAGTCAACTGATACAATATGTATAGTACAAAATTTGAGTTCCAGGCCACAAACTGACCTGTTCACTCTGCGGGGTTGCCTGACATCTGCTTGGGACTTAAAGTGTTTAGAGTTTTAAAACGAGATTACAGTAATGCTCTGAGTGCTTGTTTTGACAGGCAACCTATAGGGTGAGAAGAGCTGCTCTGGAGTGTAAAATGGCAAATATACACTTGATGTGTCAAACTGTTTTTTCTGTGTACTGAACAAGCAATATAAAAAGACAAGTCGAAGCACAAGGTCTTGTTACACACGGGCAAATGCAAGGGTTGAAAAGGGTTAATCCGCTAGCTTGTGCATCTGTGACGCATTGTTACACACTTGGCATTGGCTCAAAAGACTTGACATATGATAGTGTATTATGCCAAAGCTATGGCAACAGCAAAAAAGTAGGCACCAAAGAAAATATTTCTCACTGTGGCCTAATAACGAACACTTGTTTCGTCCATATTCTGTGATTATGTGAAAAAAAGCTGCCCCTTTTACAGTAAAGGACAATGCTGTCCACAAAAATTGTACAGTACATCTAATACGTCCTGCTCCGGGAGCCTTCTATTAACGACACCCTGAGCTTTTCCAGGCTGCACCACCACTACAACTTCGCCTTCAGGTTGAGGCTCCATCATTGGGTGCACTTTGTTGTCCATCATCTTAAAGTCAGCAGGCAGCATGCCGTTCCTCTCGGCCCACGTCTTGGTGTCTTCTGAGCTGTCCTTTTCCTCTGTGATGCTGTCGTCATATGCGCTGCTTTTGCTCACCGTGCTCAGCTCGTCCTGATATATGTCCGACTCGCTGCCGTGGGGCAAAGAAAAGTAGGTGCACTTCCCGGAAAGCAGTTTGGTCTTGTCTTCTTCTGGTTCAGGTTTTGTGGCGAACAGAGAATAGGGACTTTTCTCCTCTGTGTCCTCAAACGCTCCTTTGCCTTCAGGAGTGTTTGTAAAAGATTTGTTGATTCCAATTGGATCTGAAACAGACTTTCGGATGAGGGTGTTGTCTCTAAGCAGCCAGCGTCCGTTATCAATGGGAATGCTGTCGCCGGGCCCGACCTGTGCATTAAAAGCGATGCATCTCGTCGCTTCGCTTAAGGTGTCGAGGGCATTTGTGGAGTAGAAGTATGAGAGCTCAGACATTGCTTTGGATCGGGCTGTGTGGAAGGAAGCGAGGATGCCCGACTGTCCATTTTTCTCCTGCTTTGGCTCAGATGGGGGCCTTTCACTTGCTTCCTCATCAGTATTAGCATCCTTCTTGCCGTAAAGCCTTTCGATTGTCCTCCTCACGAAGCCTTTAGTGATGGATTTCCGCGCCGAATCATCTTCCCCACTCGACAGTTCGCTTGAAGTCTGAGATTGATATCCACCACTGACGGAGGTCTCGGCTCTTAGCTCAGCCAGCTCTGATGTGTGAGGAATTGGGAAACGAGTTTGCTGGATGTTGGTGGCGCTCCTGGCTAAGAACATCTCCCTGATGGATCTGACCCTGCTGCCTTCGGGCTCGGTGGTTATAACGCCACTGGAGTCGTAGCTGAAGGATAACGACGACTGGGGAGCCGATCGGGTGCAGAGAGTCACCTGAGATGTGGGTGATTCACAGGGTGAATCCTCGTCGCCTGAGTCCTGAGGGGCCTCTTTTTGCGAGTAAAATTTGACTGCAGAACTTTTTGTTGTGCTTTTTCTTTTCTCTGCATCAGCAACTCGCTTTTCTAGAAGAATTACTCTCTCTGCAACTGACTGGGAAATCATTTCTTCAGACTGGACCTTCTCCACAGACTTTTCAGAGGTAGTGCCTTCAGACTGTGCTGCCAGTGCAGGAGCTGCTTGGTCAGTTACAGTTTCTCCTTTATATCTGTCCACATGAGCTTTTTCCTCCTCTGAGCTGGACTCTTTTTCATAGTAACTTAACTCTTCAATTGAGCTGGTGATTTTTTCCTCTTGGACCTTCGGCTCCTCTTCATCTGCGTGCTCTTCAAAGCTGTTGTGATCGTTCCCGCTATCATCGTCTGCATTAAACCTACAACTCTCTTTTTCCAAAGTCTGATTTTCTATTAAATTGCTATGCGTGCTCTCACTGTTTGTCCTGTCATAAATATATGTCTCCTCAATGTAAGGGTCCTCATCTTCTGAGCTAACCTTGTCTTCATTTGGCTCTTCAATCAAAGCTGTTAAAGATGATGAAGCTCTTTTCTTTTGCTCGCGATCATCTGGAAGGTCACAAAGCTGTTTCGCCTCCATGTCCTCCTGCTCTTCCTCAGTGCCGGACATGCTTTCTTCAACAATAACTTGCAGCTTCTTGCTATCAACCTCTGGCTGCTCTTCCTCTGAAGATGGCTCATCCATGTCTGAGTTTCCGGTGCTTTCATCAGTCAGTCCCATGCTGTATGTTTGGCTCGGGTGTTCCTTCTCAGAGCTGGGCTGACACACAGGGGCAGACGAGTCACCTTTGCTCATCTCGGTACACGTGACCTTTGTCTGATTTTCCCTGTCTTGGCTGGTTATGCTTTTCTCCTCTCTTACATTTAGTTCCACGTATTGGCTGGGGCTTGGTAGCTTGCTATCTTCCTCTTCAGAGGGACTTTCAAGTTTGGACAGGTCTTCACCCTCGATACTCTCGTGTTTGATCTCCTCACATGAAGTTTCCGACTCGTCCCCTGAGCTCTTCAGCTCACCTGCATCTGAATTGATCACACTTTGCTTACAACTCCCTCTTTCTGCTAATTCTTTACTGGCACTTGAGTTCTTTTTCTGCCCTTCATCATCTGCACCTGAGTCCTTCTTGAAAATTTTCTTACTCCCGACTTCTACTTTGATGATATTCTCCCTTGATGTGTCCTGACATGACTGCAAGTCCTCCTTGTTCTCTTGTAGCATCGATGCTTTACTGTGAAGCCACTTTTCTTCAGTAACAGTAGGGTTAGCTGGTGGATCATTGTCTTTAGTGGTTGGGATTGTCGGTTTGTCCTTTGCTTCCTCTGCCATCAGGTGAGATTTGTCTGCTCCAGATTGTTGTGTTTGCTTAATGATGGACCTTACATCCACATCCACTTTATCATCTGGTGTGGAATCCAAAACAGTGGCGGATTTCTCTTTGAAGAAATGATCAGCAATTTCTTTACTGCTATCTTTAGGTGACGACTCTGTAATGTCAGATTCACTTTTTGGACTTAATGAAAGAGAAGCCAGTTCCTCCTTCAGCTTCTCCGGTACATCGAGGTTATCCATGATCTCGTCAATAATGTTTTCTTCAGCGACACGCTCTTGTTCGGGGTTCTCTCCAGTTAGGAGTTCTGCCTCTGAACC